CACTGAAAGCTTGTGCTACATCAAAAAGTTATGTCTGTATACACACCACTGCAGCTTGACTTTTTTTGTTGTTTAAATCTGTGGAATTTCAGTTTCAATATGGCTTTAACTCTCACTTAATATTAGAAGCTCTTGTAGGAATTTGTCAGCCTACTTTTGGTAAAAAACTGAAAACATAGGGTGCTGACTAAGAAGTCCCAAAGCGTTGAGTTTATTGGGTCACTTCTGTAATTAGGATAGAATATACCCCTTTTCAACACATTCAATTGCATGGTTGTCACAAGAACAAACAGCTTCCCTAGATACACTCTTTGATCCTCACAGTTCTGTTTTTTCCAAGAAGCAGCTTATTACTTCCCACCCTCATAGGGACCAACACCAACTTTTTTATTTCTTCTTTGTTGTTTACCATCTCACACCCAATGTACAATAATTCTCTGTCTTACCTATGCTGTATTCTGTAGGTATGTTTTCAACCAGTAACTAAAATCTGATGTACTGTGCTATTTGAAATGTGCCCTTCCTATTTTTGTGTTGATTCCTCACATTTGGTGAAGTGTAACACTGTAAAAAGTCTCGGTATGCACACTCCTATAAGATTTATTTGAGTCATGCAGATAGTTTAGCTGAAGATGCCATTTGTACTCACCAAAGTCTACCACAGAACTCTGATATTCAGCAGGACTTGGCCTTTCAGTGCTACTTATGATAATTTACCACATTAGAGAAAAGAAGTTGATTTAAGCTGTCTAGTGTACTGGTGAAGACAAAGATCCCACAGAAAAATGGTGCATGTTCTTATAATCAAACATGTAATTATAGTTGTCATAAATAAAAAGGATCAGTTAAAGGAATATAAATAGATTCAGCAATTTGCTGGTATTTGAATGCTTTGTGGAGGGTTTGGAATTATTTTATAGGAAGTGGGACCACAAAAGAATACCCTAACTTAGTTTAAGTAGACAATCTCAGTTTTTGGAGTGAGAATTTCTGTTAAGGAATATTAAAAACCAGCATATTTATGATTAGAAAGTAAAAGCGATTAGGATGTCTCTAGGCCATTATATCAATAGTGAAATAATTTTAAAATTTTGTATCCAAATATAATTTTCTAGGTTTTTATTCTCATTTTTTTCCAGAGTGACATTTACTTGTCAAATCCTTTTTATTTTTTTTACCAGCAGCTGTTTTCTGATTAGAATTTGTGCTTGATATTTCTAAACCTGTTGATTTTTTTGGTTTTATGTACTTATACTCGTGACATGTTTATTCAAATACTGTGCTAAAGATTTGTCAGGAACATGGTGTAAAGTTCTTAGCATCTCAGGACTCAGCTGAGCGGTGCAAGTTCAATATAGTTGGTTTTCTTATACTTCGGTTGCCAGTAATGATTGTGTTTTAAATCAATAGTGAAATATCTGTGTGCCTCCAGATAGGAACCCTATATTTCTGTAGATATTATAAAATGCCAGATATGCCACATACTTTGAGGAAAGGAGGCTGATGTTGTATCCATCTGGTAGAGACTGTATACTTGATACATAGTCCAGAGTTTACTTGTTTTTTAATTAATTTTCCTGTGTATTTCAGTCTTTCTATTCTTTACCCTTCTGCTTTTCTATTCATTTCCTTATCAAACATTTAAAAGGTTATCAAACATAAAAAGGTTATTCCTTCTATAGCATAAGAGGCTTAGTCTCCTTCTAGATTTAATTTGCCATGCATGATAATAGAAAAAAAAATGGCATTTTCTTTCACTAACATGACCAACATGTCTTGGGTTTCTTCAAGACATTGAAAACAAAGCAGCGTTTCCTGAATAGAGAGAGATCAGGGCAAGATTCACCTGAAATATCTTTTCATGACATTGATTACAAACTTTGCCAAGGCTCTGTTAGGACAACAGCAGGTAAATATTTGAGCAAGTACATCCTACACCTCTGTCTTTTTCACTGTGATTTGATTTCTTATCAAAATTAAAAAGGTAGAACACAACTTTTTTTAAAAAAAAATTTGATTTTTTTTTAAAAAAGTCTGTGGAGCCCAAATTACTTCTTCTAAAAATGGTCTCCTATTTTTTTGCAAGTAGAATAGGCTGGTGTGAGTTGGAAGGGATGTTTAAAGATTATTATTTCTGCCCACCCACATGGGCAGGAATGTCTTTCACTAGGTCAGGTTGCTTAAAACCACTTCCAACCTTGAACACTTCTGGTAATAGGGCCTCCCAGTCCACTGTCATTTTCATTTGCATTTAAATCCCATACAGTTTACTCTATTTAAAAAGGAAAAGTTTTCACCGAGTTACACCTGGAGTAAGTGATTAAATTTATGGTGGTTATGGTTATAACCACCATTATTCGGTTATGGTTATGTTTCTGTGAAGATCCCATGGAAAATTGAAATAAATCTGTGCAGATAAATAAAAATAATGTAGCACAAATGCCTGTAGGATTCAAGTTAATTTTTAAAGACATATTGCTGCACCTACAAGTTGTTTGCTCAAGTCAATTCTATAACAAAACTGCTTTTTCTGAATTCTGTGTGTTGTCATTTTTTCTCCATGTGAAATACTTGAAAGGGACCAACAGAGGCAGCACTAACTAGAACCAAGCCCAGTATATGCATACACTAAGCAAGGACCCAACATGCTGCAAGCTCCTTTGGTAACCATACTATTCTAATTTATAAAATTTTTATAATGAAATAGTACTGCAATGTAGAAATAATTATAATCTAGTAGTTTTAATGGTAGTCCTAATGTGTTTTTAAGTTTTAATTTTGTTACTTGAATAAACCATAAGAGCAGCTTTACAGATTCAGATCAAGGGTCTATCTAGCTGAGGACCCTTGTTGCAAAGAGACCCTAAGGAAAAGTAAAAGCTGAGTATGCACATATGCATGTATGGTAATTACTCCCTGATGCTCTCCCAGCCTCCAGCTATTTTCAGCTCAGGGGATTTCCCGAGTCCTTATGACTGCCTGTTTCATATCCTGTAGCTGATCTTTTTTCCACGATTTCTCCATCCTTTCCTTTCATCCTTTTACGTTGCTTACATTCATAACATCCTTTGGAAGGCTTTAGGTTTGTGTTTGCGTTTTGGGGTTTTTTTCTTACAAGTCTTGCTGTCCATCATCTGAATAACCTTTTGCTTATTTTAAACCTTTTTCTCACCAAGAACCAGAGACTGATCTAGTGGATACACACACTTACTAGCAATTCAGCTCTTTCATCCTTGGCTTCAGAAACTCTTAAGAGAATACAATCTAGTGTTTGTTCTGTTGATTCTGTCTAGCTGTATTCTAGTGTCTGCCCATGATTGTTTCAGCAGCTAACTGATAATAAGGTAATACAAAAGCAAATTTTTTTCCCCCCTTGTTTATGGGCATGGGTTTTGAGGGATTTGTGATATGGCAGTTTCTTCTTTAACTTTTTTTATCATTTAGACTGTGCTTTGGAGGAATCATTAAATCGTTTTGCATCCAGTGAAGTAATAATATTATAAAAATATTAGGTGACTATAGCAAGATTATTGTTTCTGTTACTTGAAAATCACTGAGAAGTCACATGCAGTAAAATGCAAGGAATGTGAAACATGAGAGTATTGTGGAAAGTTCAAGCAAATAAAATTCCAGTTGCAAATCAAAACGAAGCTAGAAATTAAAGATATGTTTATTATTTATGTTACATATAGTAGAATTAATTTTACCCACAATACAAGTACACAACCCACAGTTCCTTCTACATGGCACACCTGTAAATATACTAAACTGTCACATTTTATTTCAGCAGTGCTGAGCAAAAATCTGCTTTATTAAAAGATGATATTACCTTTTCACTAAACTTGCATTTCTCTAGATAAAAACATATATTCTCAATTTCTGTTTCAACAAAATTCAGAAATAAGAATTTTAGAGAATTCTCCTAATTATGATGCTATTCATCCTTCACTGTTCTGCCTTTCATGAGGAAATTCCAGTTTCTACAAAGTAGTTCTGGTAATGCTTGTCAAGAGCTGGATCCGTTTAAACTCTTTAGAAATAGATTCAGCATCTTTAAACAGGACAGGGCTTCCCTACTATGGCACTTCAGTCACCACCAGTACTCATTTCCCCCTGTTCTGTCCCCACTGCAACCACTCTTTCCTCTTTTCATCAAACTTTGCAATTTGTGTCAGCTGAAACTAAAATAAAATCACTATTGATCTTGTCCCTGTGATCTGTTTATATTCTGACAGACTACTTAGTGTGATACTGCATGAACATGCAAAGAACTTCAGTTTAAATATGCTAGCAGTGCTTGTACATACCATACCATGTGGTACCAAGGTAGTGTCTGTATTGGATTTGTAACTTAAATGTCCTGATAGAGAGTCTGATTTCTCAGAAGCCTTTCCAACAAGTGAAAAATAAGCTAACTTAGCAAACTTTTTCCTCATAAGCTTTGGAACACCCTATTAATGTAAAATATATTGAGATTTTTCAGATTACAAATTTCTATACAATCTGGGAAAACTGCCATTCTAATGGAAACAACACCAACCTCTTGGTTTTTCCTTTTGCCAAATAATACACCTCCTTTTGAGATTAAGTAGAGAAAAGTTGCAATCAGGTAAACAGAGAACTGTAATGATTATAGGTGAAAGAAAGTACATTATATTGTCTTAGCTTAGAAGAAAAATAGAATTAGGTGGAGCTACACACTAGCTTCAATATATCTAGAGGGGGGAATGTAAAGACCAAACAGATCTAACAGATGAGTAGAAGCCTCTGGAATTGGTTTAGTATGACAGTTAATCTTTGGGTTTTGAGAGGGATGAAGACCTTTTGCTTTTTTTGGTTTCTGAAAACAATTATTGTTCAAAATCCAAAAATACTGATTAATTGTGGGTGTAGCACTATCCTTTGTAAGATAAAATGCAAATCTACTGAAGTACTAGAAGCAAAAAGTAGGCAAGTTGGACTGACTTTTGGACACATTATTTTGTTTGTTTTTTTGATAGGTGAAATGAGGAATGATTTATATATCACTGTAGAAAGAGGAGAATTTGAAAAAGGAGGGAAAAGTGTGGCCAGAAATGTGGAAGTGACAATGCATGTGGTGGACAGCAGTGGTCAAATCTTAAAGGTATCTTTGTTTTGTGCTTTTCCTTGCTGTAGTTAATTTTGTAGTTAATAAAGTTAATAATTGTAGTTAATTAAGACACACTTTCCCAGATGTAAGTCTTCTTTTGTGGCATTGGTTTAAGACTAGAAAAATACTTTGGAAAGGACATGTTTATCTTTTTCTGTCTTTAGGTATTCAAAGTGTCTCCACTTAAAACATTTTTTAAATGTCTGTATAAGACCTTAATATATGTTTGTTTTATTTCTATGATTAAATTACATGATTGGGATAAACATGTAAAATTGCCAACCAAATAACTAAGGATTCCATTAAGATGCTGGAAAATGGTGAAGAAAGATTAAGCTTGGGAGAATTTTGTATTTCCTAAGAATTATTTTTAGAATGATGCAATTTTTATGTTACACAGAACAACTTGTCTTGATAATTTTGAATTTTGTGTCTGATTTTAATAAATCCTTACTGCAAAAGTCAGCACCATGTATCAGTAAAAAAAAAATAAATTAATGTTCCTTCTCATCTTCAAATTTTATTATGTGCTGCTGGTAACGGCTTACAAACAGACAATGGTTTAAATTTTAATTATTAATAGATGAATGTTTCTCAAAATTCTTCTGTACCAAAAGGATTTCTGTTCACATTCAAACTTTTCCTCACATATTTTTATATGGTTTTTGCTTTGTTTTGTTTTAAATTTGAAAGTAGTGTTTTCATATGTTCTGCATTATTTCATGGGCTGTGGGGTAACACAATGGAGAAAGTCTACACAAATAACCTGGTACAAATTGCATGTTTGTGTATCTGGAGTGAAATGCTGCATATAGATCCATAGCATGTGATATAGACGCATTTTTATATATATGCACACATAAATGTGTGTGTGTGTATATTAAACAAAAAAAACATATTGAGATTATAAGAGCAAAACTACACCTTGCCTTTCTCACAGAGAATTAATACATATCCCCAAGTCAGTACTTTGGATAAATGCATTTGCCTGCCTTGGTATGGAGAGTTCCTCATGGGTGTTGTAAAGGCAGCCAACACTTTGCTTCTTCCTGATCACAGAATCCACATTCATTTTCTAATGCTGGGACATACCACTCTTTGTGCCAGGGTTACAGGCTTATTTCAGATGACTGAAATCTTGAACCTGGGCTGTTCTCAGTTCCATTCTTTGCTGCTGGGTTATAACATTGGCAGGACCATGTTGTGTCATGGGAATCCACAACACGTGTGTTGCTCAAGCCTCCCTGATCACCCAGTTGAATACTTCTATTCTACATTATGTAAATGATTCTTGCCATTTCTAATTTCAAGTATAAAAAAAAAAAAAAGTGCTACTGTTTTTGAGGGTTATAACATACTGAACATTGTACCACATCTGGCATTCATGATATGAATATAAACATTAAATAGTCTTCCTTGGAAGAGCAGTCCTTGATGACATTTTACCAGTGAGCTAATCTATCTTTAATCATATTTTTACTTCATTAGGATTTTATCTCATTTGGCTCCGGAGAGCCACCAGCCAGCGAATACCATTCTTTTGTGCTTTATCATAACAATTGCCCCAGGTGGGCTGAGCTGCTGAAACTTCCTATTCCTGTGGATAAGTTCAGAGGAGCTCACATCCGCTGTGAATTCCGGCACTGTTCCAGTAAGTGGTGCTCATGACTTCTGCTAGTCCTCCCCGTTACGGCTGTAGTCAGTTTCCATAGCACCTCAGGGAAAAGGCAGCTGCATGGACTTTCTCTGTAATGCTTCTTTGTACTTACTAAATTCTAAAATTTTTAAAACATTATTAAACATTTTAGAGATGATTTTGAGGTAAAAATTGCTGACTGGTTCTACATTCTGCATTCCCAGGTATGGGAGGTTTCACAGAGGATAAACTTCTATATATTGTTATATATAAATTATATATAAATTTATATATATAAATTGCATAATTTGTGGCTTACATTATTTGTTGTTACTATATACTAAATTATTTCAGAATACTCCCTTCTGATTTAAAGTGAGATAAAAAGGAACATTACAGAAGACAGTGTACAAATTAGAGCAGCAATTCAAGATAATCTTTGTCTGACTAGCTGCAGCTCCAGTATTCTTTCCTATGTTGCATTTTACACTCTTGTGTTGTATAAGCTTATTTTGTCTAAAAAAATATACTATTATCTTTAAGTGCTGCTATTTATATATGCATTTCAGCAAAAGAAAAGGGTGAGAAGAAGTTGTTTGGCTTTTCTTTCATGCCCCTGATGCAGGAAAATGGGAGGACTCTGCCAGATGGCACCCATGAACTAATTGTACACAAGGTAATTTGAATTAACAGTCATTAGCTGTAATGATTGCACTGGAACCTATTTGAATGCCCAGAGACATTGAGAAAGTCTGTATTGACTATCAAATGAGTGATACTCTTGTCACCATTAAAATATCCATTGCTGATTGTTTAATATTCACCTTCCTGATATGAACTGCAATTGAATCTAGGTATGTGTTTCAGTGCACTGGTCACATTGTGTTAAAATGAATTTCACAAAAGTAAGTTATTTTAACTTTGTGGAATTCTCTTTCCACATATAAGAGTTGTCACTTTGTTCAGAGTATTTTATATGCTTCCAGATAAAGTTTAGATCTTAACATGAAAATTTGTAGCTATTCATTTAATGTAAACTGTGCAAATGTGTTAAATTTCAATGTCAATATATGATGCTAAGCTCTAAAACCAAAGTTGCAATAGGCATAGTGGAAATTCTTCAGTTTCTGACAGGGAAACAATGATTCATATAGTTTGGAGATCTGGTCAATTGTTTTGTGCAGTACTGTTATTTTTACTGGTCTGTTTTCACAGTGTGAAGAAAATGCAAACCTTCAGGATTCTGGTCGCTACCTCAAACTCCCCTTTTCAAAGGGAATATCCCTAGGAAACAACAGCCAAGCAGTAAAAACCACTAAAGAGTCCTTCTGGATTACATCTTTTCTCTGCTCCACTAAACTCACACAAAATGGTAGGATATGTTGATTATTTTAAACATGATGAGTTTAAATGAGTGTGATATCTAGTCTTTTCCATGCTAAGCAAGTATGGAAGTACTCAAAAATAGCTTATGTTCTATCTATTTTATGAACTGGTTTTCTTCATAATTTTTTTCTATTCAGATGGAAACAAATGGATCATGATAAAACACTGTTTTTAAGTAGTGCAAGAATGCTTTTTAGATGACCGTGATATTGGAATCAAATGCAGCACTTCTGGAATCAACTATCAAAACCCAGCTGCTTTATAAAACCTCTTGATCTGTTTGTTGTAGAGTTTTTATGAAATACTTATTGTCAGCTTTAGGCTGTAGCAGTTTGTTCCTAATTAGGCAAATATTGCTTTTTTCTTTTTCTTCAATCCAGCAAACATTTACTACTACTTAAAACAGTCTTATACACTGGCTATAAGGAGCAGCAGATTTAAATACACGTGTTTACACTCTCTACCAGTGCTTTGTGTACAGTTCTTAACCATGTTATGTATAAAATTCTCGAGGTTCTTGTTTACCTGCCATAACTGAACTAAACTGTAACTAAAAACTGTGGAACAGTTTTCCAAAAATTTCTAAATATTGTGTATTTGCTTGGTAATGTGTTTCTGACCATTCTTCGATATAACCACGATTTTATATTATTACTTTGACCTCTCTTGTGTTTGAATGTCTGTGACTTTACCCATCCTCTGTGTATGATGATAAAATTGCTAACTATTTGAAAATTGATTATAGATGTTCACCAAAAACTAGAGCAGCTTTTTAAATTGAAATAGTGCTCTTAATTTTCACCCATTAATAGCAAGTGTGCATAATAGAACTGTGTGCAAACAGTAAGTGGCTTGTTTCCTTGTGCACACCCATTTTGTATTGTCATAGTAATTACCTTAGCAATGAAAGTTACTCAATGAAAGTTTTTCCCAAAGGTAGCTAATAGGAAATCAGAGACTAAGTTTGCTTCAGTTAAAGGCCTTGATTTAGGAAATTACATTAATCTACTGATACTTACACCTGCATAAAAGTGCTGTCTGGAATTTAAGTGTCTCACTGATAAATAGTTGCCCTATTGTCTGGGGTTCTAATACTAATTTTTGTTTACACTGCAGGAGTTATTTTGTACTTAATGTGTATAGATGTGTGACATAGGGCATAAAATTTCCTCCTTCTTTTTTTAACCATATTCTGAGTAAAAGGGTGTAGAATATCTGAATAATATTGATCCCCTTTTCAGCTCTGAAAGAGTTAACAATTATTTCAGCAGTACTTCAGAGGGTGGAAATATTTTCAATAGACAGGCTCATATTTTCTCCAAGGATCTTCTTTGGGAAGTTCATCTTGGTGAGTTTCCAAATCCCCATTCTTTTGAACAAAAATTTGCCAAAATCTATTGCATGCTCAGAAAATGAACATAGAGCAAAGCATGTGGATATTTGGTCATGTGAGCATTACTTCAGTTATCCCTGAGAGAATGTAGCTTATGTATTAAAAAATACAGGATTAAAAAGATCTGTGTATTTAATTTTTTTAGTAAACATTTGTTTTGGTATTTTTGTAAATTGCTGGTTATTTTTTAATTTGTTTTTAAGTTTGGAGATTTTTTCTGAATGTCTCAGAGATTCACCTGTTGTTTACAAACAATGTCCAGTTTGAAAATGAATTAAAAATTACTGTGTTGTCTGGCTATGGGGTGGGGAAGGACCCCAAACCCAGACTTGTAAAGGGTGTGATGAATTAGACTGCAGCTTTACTTGCTTGCTGGGAAATTTTACTCAGCTGTCATTCTCTCATTGATTGTTCCCACATGCCATCAGCTCTCATGCATTAAAATTATGGGGACTGGGGGACAGAGGCTGACTCCTAGTTGTTGGGATCCATAATTTCCTTACCCTGGGTACTTTGAAGGGGTTATTAGGATTATTTCCAAACAATTTTTTGGAGACCTTCTAACCAGAGGAGTCTCTTCCTTCATCATGGCTAAGAGCACTTCCTTATCTAATCTTTCTACTGGTTAGTTTTTTCCTTCACTTTTGGTCCTGGATAGTTAATCAGTTAATATTAGCAAAAAGTATACTAGCTTTTATCTATATTATATTCTTAGATGGGTAGTTATTTTTCATTACTCTATAAAACCCCGAAAGAGTGAAAGACTACTCACTCTTTCACTCAGTTTTTTCTGCTGAGTAGTTACCAAAACAATCTTAGTTTTTGACATATAGTAGAGATTCAAGAAAGTCAGGATCTTTCCAGGAAGTCTGAATATTTTAGCTGTTGGCATCCACTTGTTTCTCATCACTGATCAGCACATCCCTGGTCAGCAGCTGTTCAGCAGCAGAGCAACATGCCATACAGCATGGCAGAGGTGTAATCCTTCTAGCTGCATTTAAAAAAAAAACCCAAACCAGTGAATTGATAAAACAAAAGCAGCGCTGGGCAGCTTTCCGAGTAACCCTGGTTTGGAGGAAGTGCTAGTGACCACAGAAGCAGCCTGTTGGAAGAGACATGCTGACTGCCAGTTCTGAAATTCAGTCTCTTCCTCCTGAAATCATAACAAGTCAATTTCTGATGTCTCAGGACTTACATGAGAGAGAGATGGAAAATCATCCCAAGCCACTTCCTTAAACTCATGATTCTAAATCTTCTGTTAAACTGAGCTCTTTGGATTTAAATTACATGCTTCAAGAAGGGATGTGTTTTATTTGGTAGGGACAATAGGTCAGGTGTAGTCTATTTTAAGTATACAGGCATTTATTTTGAAGATAATGCATTGGAAATATTTTTATTCTTCAGCAAAATTAATCATCACCAGTGACTTTTTCCCTTCTCCAAAACTATGATTTCCTAGTAGGCCTATTTTGGGGGACAATTTTATATTTTCCTGTCTCTTACTGTATGACACACTGCTATCCGTTCCCCTTGTGGGTCACATGTCAGATTTCCTATTTGTATCACTTATGCTTGGGCTATTCTCTAATGTTATCTTAGAATGTCTTTCCTCCTTAGCACTTCCCTTGAAATAAGTCCTTTGAAGTGAGTGTCTTACATTTGCTTTCTTTTTCTTTTTAAATCCCCAACAAATCCCTAATACTGAGTGTCAACTATTTTTTACAAAGTTCCTCCAGCAAACCTGTGAAGAAGTGTTTTCCCTGCTCTGAACTGACAGTTTCAGCTAGTCTTGCTACTCGTCAGCTTGAGCTGAGGCTTAAAGTGTAGAAGTACATTTAATTATCCAAAAGACAAATGTAGTTCAGTAGATTTGTAAATCTTGTTTCTTAAAAATTCCTGACAGAAAGAATAATAAGACCTATCATTTGTCCTTGATCATTGGGATGTGTTTCCAATGCATGTGTGGGACTCTGTCACTCAGTGCAACTCAAGGATCTCTTTTTTTCCATGCCAGCACAGCTTGAAGCGAAACAAAAATGTAACACATAAATGCATCAGAACAATCTGTGTCCATCAAAAGCAATTAAGGCAATAAAATATTTGTGGGATCTTATGTTGGTTGTTTGCCATTAACACCTATAGCAAAATTTGAATATAGGTGGAGATTCATTTAATGTTAATAATTAAAAAATTTTTTCTTCATTTGTTGTGGGATAGAGAAACTTCCCTGGAGCAAACCAGGAAAGAGGTGGCACAAAGATGGGTGTTGCACAAGTATTAATTGAGTGTGAAACCAGTCTGTAGTAGAAAGCAGCCAAAAAGATGCTGATCCAAGAGGAAAACTCGCTATTAACTTCTTACCTTAATAACTACTGAGAACACTTCAGAAGCACTGGCTCCTTCTAACACAGTGCTGGGCAGTGATCAGCTAGGCTGTAGTTCAGCTTAAACTGATGGAGGGGTTGGATGGTGATTAAGGTTTTCTGCTTCAATCCACTAGGCACTGAGAATCTCTGAAAAGCTGGTCAGTGAAGTGTGGCAGTAGTAAACTTGAATATAAAAGGGATTTGGGTTTTATATAATTCAACAGTCAAAAAATGTGTGTAGCTTTTACTGAACACAGCTTAAAAGGAGCTCTGCAGATGTGTCTGAGTTCAGCAAGGAAAAACTGCTGAAAAACCACTCAAAGTTTGCAAAACTATTTTAGGATATTGAATGGTATGGAACAAGAAATTATCAATCTTATAGCAAGGTGGGTTTTTTAATACATCTGGGAAGCAGTAACATGTGTCCAAAGACTATAAAATGTAGAACTTATATTTAAGACAGGTGGAAGGGCAGATATCTTAATTGGCCCATCTATCCATGATGAATTTTATGTAAATATTTGCAAGAAATCATGGATAAAAAAAAATCAACATGTAACTAATTCAGATGTGCTGCAAGATTATGAAAGACAAATCATGCCAGAATAAACTTAATCTTTCTTTTCAATTTTTTTAAATTTGTTATCAAGAGGAAATGCAGCAGCTGAATAATGCAGGACATGAGAAAAAATACATATTGGAAATAAGAATTTTCAAACAGGCAATTAAAAGTTAAAATGGAAGTGGAAGGCTGCACTATAGTGGAAGGCATTTCCTTCTTGAGCAGATGGAAAATACTACTAGATCTGAAGAAATTTCTGGAATTTATCTCTGCTTTAAAAGACTGGTAGGGTATGGAGATGAGAGTAACTTCACTAAAATCTGAGACAATTTTCTGCATGTTGTTGAAAGGTCTCTTCAGTGGGGGACAAAATCATAATATGATATAGCAAAGCACTGTAACTTTGATTTAAATAATTAATAAGAAAGAATAGAAATAGAAAGAATATTAGAAAGAATAGAAATTAGATTGAATGTAATGGTAGAAAAGGCAGGATACACCAGTGGAGACTCCTGGGGATTGTTCCACATCCAGGGAGCTGAATAGTGTTAAATGGGAGAAACATCATATTGGTGACATAAATATGTCTATCCAAAAGACACTCAACTTCTAGAACACAGATGTTTACAACAGATGTACGAGCTTGCTAATGATGTAGAAAATGATGTCATTTTATCTGTAATGTAGTTATCTTTTTGGTTAGGAAAGCTGAAGGACAAGGAATTAAAACTGGAGGAAGTTTGGACACACTCAGGCATCTTTTATCTCAGAATAGTTCATTTTCCAGAAGAGATTTTTTGCTTGTTAATCAAGTGGGATCTTAGAGGAATTGCCTTTGTTGTCTGAAAAAACACAGAAACACGAGTGTTTCAAATGCAATCAAGCTGGTAATTAGGAGATCGTTTCTAGCTTTCAGAGACTAACTCTGGTAGGCATCTTTCAATGGGTTGAGAGAGGGCAAAATAATTGCTTTATTTAAGATAGCATCTGAACAAGATTGCATGATAGAGTTGCCACTGGAGACTGATTCTAGTGACCCAGTACCATGTTCTTATGTTTGTTTCAGTGGAGCAATTACGGAACAGAATGAAAATGTTTTGTTGGGAAGATCATATTATAACAAATCTAGAGGTGTTTTCTCTTCTTGCCAAATTTTGCTGAATGGACTGTAATAGTAAAATTTGAAACATGAAATGCTGCTTTGCTTCCAACTTTAATCCTGCACTTTGTTTTTGCAGGAGATATGCTTGACCTTCTGAAGTGGAGAACCCACCCAGACAAAATTGCAGGTTGCCTCTCAAAATTAAAAGAAATTGATGGTTCAGAAATAGTGAAGGTATATACCTTTTTATACTTTTAGATTATATGAGAGAAATAATGTGCTTCCATGTCACAGAAATGTCTTTTTAATAACGCTCTTATTCTCTCCCATCAGTTTCTTCAAGATACACTAGACACTTTATTTGGGATTTTAGATGAAAATTCTCAAAAATATGGATCAAAAGTATTTGATTGCTTGGTAAGTTTCATTTTGTGATCATGCTTAACACTAGCTAAAAGCTAGGTAAAACAAACAAAAAAAAGTGTTGAATTTTTTTCTTTTTCTCTCACATTCAGGTTCACATAATAAATTTGCTGCAGGACAGCAAGTTTCACCACTTTAAGCCAGTAATGGACACTTACATTGAAAGTCATTTTGCAGGAGCACTTGCATACAGGTGAAGTCTGTACTTTTTCTATCTGATTTTCTATCTGACAGCTGTTACTAAACTAAAAGAATCAATCATTCGGTTAAGGACATGGTGTGTGCCTGTTAAAATCATTCTACTGCATATTTAATGCTGGTATTATTGGCCATTCATCAGAGATGTGCTAGGTGCTCTTCAGCAGACTTAAAACTAAGTTTACTATTGAGTATGGTGATCAGTAAAATCTAGTCATATATTTTATTTTGCCAGTGTTTCTCATATGACAGCTATTGGTCTGCATTTTATGTGCAAAGTTAACCCTTCTCTCACTTCTGTGTTGTAATAATTCCTGATGTGCTATTATAGAGATCTTATAAAAGTACTGAAGTGGCATATTGATCGAGTCACTGAGGTGGAGCTTCATGATCACATACAGGAAGTACTAAAGGTAATAAAATTTTTGGAGACAAGTGTACATTTGAATGATGTATTCATACAGTACACACTAGTCTAACTTAGGGAATGAAGCAGAATATATATAAATGATGGAACAGTAGTACTAATTCTAGGGAGCTGCAGACTTCCAGTGCAGTCAGTTTATTCATTATTTTCTTTTGTCAGTAAGTTGACCATTGAGGCTCGCTGCCTTTAGTCTGTGGAGCTCTATGTTCCTCACTGAATGAGGCAAAGGAATCAAATATAGATAACACTGGTGGTGTTACATCCGTTGCATGAATCTAAATGGGCCGACATGCATGCAGGCCTAATGATTCAGTCCTGACACCAGGGAATTCTGATTATGGTGGTTGTGGTTGTTCTTGTTGCCCTGGTTTGTGCCATCAGAAGAGCATAACATGCCATCAGGCTGAGTTATACTATGCAACAATGCCATTTGGGACACGAGCTGCAATATGGAAATAAAATATCAGTGTGCGACCATTCTGTATTTTTCTGTGCTGCTGTGAACTTCTGTGTCTTGCTAATAAGAGAGGGCACTTATTGTATTTTGAATTTGCATTCAAACAGTTTTTGCATTTAATTTAAGGGTTTTTTTTTTTGTGGGGGAAGAAAGTGGTGGAGTTTTTGCTTATTTGTTTTACTTTTATTAAAATATTGTTAGTGTTTCAATAGAGAGATTTACCAAGATTAACTAATGGGGTCCCGTTTCAGACTCTTTTCTTTATTTGAATGATATAATCATTGCATGTGTTCTGTTTGGAGAGGAGCATGTTCATTTTTGTGAGTTATCTCTGATTTTGGCATTTATAGGCACAGGAATATATCTTTAAATACATAGTTCAGTCTCGAAGATTATTCTCTATTGCTACTGGTGGACAAAATGAGGAGGAATTTCGCTGCTGTATTCAAGAGCTCCTTATGTCAGTACGCTTCTTCCTGTCTCAAGAGAGCAAAGGAACAAGTGCTTTATCCCAACTACAAGTAAGTTTTCTTGCTTGTTGGCATTTTCCACATCCAGTATAAAAAATGTATGCTTGTTCAGAAAGAAAACGTATTTTTGCTAGAGCAAAGTGGCATTTTCAACTTTCCATCATACAGCATGAAATTTTCATACCAGCACCTTCTAAATATGCTTGGAATAGATAATGCTAAACATGGTATTTTATTTTGAATTATAACAATTATGTTGATGGATACAAATAAACCAATTTTTTTTGTTTTGGTCTTCTTACTGTTTAGTTTAACCACACTAACATTGAAGAATTTGAGCCATACAAAAACTACTATTAGAGTTTTCATGCTGTACAGAAAATTTTTAAGTCTTGATGAACCATATATAATACTCAGATGATACCTTTATTTCATTTGAGACTACAAAAATGGGCTAGTGCTAAAGTGTAGAGGCAAAACACACAGGAGACAGCTCTCTACATTAAATGTTCATAAATATACCCTCCTCTTCACATGTTTCTGTAAACAGAGATTGTTAAGATCCTGTCAAGAATTAGTATTTTCCAAATTGTTTTAGAAAACAGTTCTGCCAAGAAAATGGCAAATCAGAGAGAACAGAGTTAGAAAGGTTTTTCTTCCATCTCATATCGTGTAAACAGCTGGAGTCAAAAGACAATAAAAGGATACAAACAATACATTTAGAATTCTTTTTCAGTATTTTTAACTCCCATTAGCCTGTTCTGCCACAAGTGTGGGTGTGTAAGTAGCATTTCACAATCAGCAGGATTTAGAGAAGAAGAGGGGAATGTCAATTTTAGCTTCTTTTCACTGGCATTGTTCTCCTTTCTTTTACAGTGTTTTGTTTTCATATTCATAAATGACCTTCTACCCCATTTTAAAGATTATTGAAGGGAACCAAGACTACAAGTGCTGCCTCACCCCAAAATAAAAATGTTCAGTATTTGAAAAATGGAAGATATCAAGGCTGTTACATTACTTACCTTAAAGTAAACCAAAACAACTCCACACAAATAGTTTTTGTATCGTATCAGCTAGATTCTGCCATCCTTTCAAAAAATTTTGTCTCACAGAAACCTAAGTGTATTTAAAGAATAAATATTTTTGAGTTGAACTTTCACTTCGTCCTGGGAGAAATTACCAATCATTAGCTATTACTTAAAGGAAATAGTCACAAGTGTAAGTCCATTAATGTGAGGCTATTAATTTTGAAAATAAGACTGTTTTTAAAGCTATTACCTGTCCTTGAAACCAAGCATTTCTCTAGAGTTACTTAAATTTCTATAGTTATTTAAATTCTACAAATGTGAAAACTGTTCTGACTGTCCATTTTTGCCCTGTTCCTCTAGGCTGTGTTTCTCAGCTCGTTCCCATCAGTGTACTCAGAACTTTTGAAGCTCTTTGATGTGAGAGAAGTGGCAAATTTGGTTCACGATGCTTTGGGCAGCTTGCCAACAGTGATGCATGGGGATGAGTCCCTTCAAGCTGTTAAACTGCAGAGTATTGGGAAAACTGTGGAGAGTCACCTGTACACTAACCCAGGTAAGGTTGCTCTGGGTTGCCTGCAGATGAGGAGCTCAGACTGGGTGCTTTGTACCTTGGCCAGCAGGTGCTGAAGGGAATAGTGTTCAAAAGAAACAATTCTTGAAGCACTGCTCTGTATAAGCTGCTCATTTATAAAAATACAGTTTTTTGAATTTAGTGATTCGTTTTTCAGGGCAAAGACTCAAAAATATGTCGGGGTTTTTTTTTTTAATCTACTGGCAATATTGTTGGTTAAGGAAGTTTGCCTTATGCTTTTTAAGTAATTACAAGGAAAAACTTTGCTAAAATTATTTCTCTCCTTTTCCTCTTCTTTGGGGACAGTTCAGCACTCAGACTCTCACCCATTAAGTCATGTTTTGTGTTTGCTAGTTGAACACTTTGGACCCTCCATTTTTTAATACAGCATAAAAATACTACACAAATGTGAGTAATGCCTGGTGCATAAAATATATAACAGCATTATTATTTGCTGTGCAGAAAAAACAACTGCTGAATGGTGGTGAGCCCAGCATTCTTGGTTTCTATTCTAAGTGGATCTCACAGAAGTAACTAAGTATTAAATCGAGATGAAGTAATTTTGAAATAAAATAATTAAAATAGAAAAAAGATGATAGAAGAAGGATTCTAATAAGTCTTTATTTATTTGCCCATAGCCCTGAGAGCTATTTGGGTATTGGGTGATGGAGTTTAGTAGGACCAGTTACTTTTACCATCTAAAGCATTCAAGGTGAACACATTACAGTGATGAAAGCCCTGCAAAAACCACCAGTATATGCATAAATACTTTGGGATACTACAAAAAAAAATTTAAGAGTTCTTTGAGCATATTTTTTACCACAGCTTTTAAAAAGTGGTTCTACTTTATAAATATGAGCTGAAAGAAATGGGTAAGGAGTATATGCATAAATACTTTGAGATACTACAAAAAAAAAAATGAAGAGTTCTTTGAGCATATTTTTTACAACAGCTTTGAAAAAGTGGTTCTACTTTATAAATATGAGCTGAAAGAAATGGGTAAGGAGTACTGCATCCTGGCTAATTGGCTTCATTCTGGCTGTGAAAACAGGTTATCCTCTCCCTTGGGAGTCCCCTCCTGAAGGGTCAGCTAGCTCTCCCTTGTGCCAATAGATCAGACCTCCAGTCTCTGGCTGGATGATGACATATTTATGGAGCAATATCAAGGATGCTCTCACTTACGTTTTTTATTTTTCACACTACTTAGGGACCAGGTAGCATCATTGCCACTTTCCTCCCATTATCTCAGGTCAGCCTAAACAGGTGCCCTAATTATATGAACCTAATCAGTCACTTAATGCCATGTAAGGGACTCTTTGGGGGCTTTCTTGGAACTACTTTCAATTGTATGACAACTTTTTTACGTTTGCTTTCTTTTGTAAAAAAACCCCAGATTTTTATTGAAATCCATTTTCATTATTAAGGAGTTGGTTTGGCTTTAAAAGCAATGAAACCTTAAAGTTTACAAGGAGTGTGGGTTGCACACATATAAAATACAAATTTCTTAGACCATGGGGAAACAGATGTGAGAAACATCAGGCAGTGATATAAGCTCCCAGTGTCCATGAGAGAAATGTCATACAAACGCTTGCACTGTAAAATTTTGATCATCATTGAGTTGAAGGGTGTTGTGGAGATCGGTCTTGTATCTTTGCCATCAATGTTTCATCTCTTTAAAATACAAAAATATGAATAGACTTTCCCTCAGTTCATTCCTAGAAGGAAGTCCTATTAAAATCCTCTTGGGAAAAATAAATACTGCACTATATTATGTTAATCTACATATGTAGATTATGTACATATGTACAATTATGTACATCTTAAAGGGAAGTTGTGGTTTGCTGCTATGAAAAGAGCTGATTTCTGTCTGCCAGATGAAGATAATGAATGCTGCAAACCACAGTGCCAGCTAATGCACTGGAAGTAAAAGGAACATAGGAAATAACTATTTATTCAAATATCTGAAAATAAGAAGGGTGCTTCTTAGATAGCATTTTCTGTTATCTGGAGCTAACTTCATTACCTATCTAAAAAGACACAGATGACAATTTTCCTGACAGTAAAATTCATCAGTACTTTTTTCCCCTTGGCCTTTCTTCCAGCCTCCTGGGTATTTTGGTCTTTGGCCTCATCCCTCTTGATACTTTAAGAATGTCCAAACTGATGATCTACATATGCCTGTAACCAGAAGAATGTCTAACTTTGTTATTTCCCATATATCAGTAGCCTAACATGCTTGTTTGCTTTCTCTTTTGCATTCACTGTTAATACAGCTTCCTTTGAGGAAGAGTTTAATCTGTTTAGCTGGAAAGAGTTAGGGCCAGTAACAGAGAGCCGTATCTTGAACCATGTCCTTCTTGACACGGTTAAAGATGAATTGACAGAACTCCAACTGTTTTTTAATCTAAGGGCACTTCTTTGAGCTTGCAAATTCAATAGCTGTGAAAATGTGAGGTGCATAAGTGGAACATCTGGGTTTTGTCCTTCAAAAAGAATGAGTTTTTTTGGAATCATCACTGATACAACATGTCAACATGTTAGCAGTAGAGTCATTATGTTCATAGGTAAAATCCTACAAAAAAGAAAACCTCATATGGATAAAGCCTGTGTTTTAGCTAATTCATAAGCTGTAGTGCAGCACTTTACCATATGAAAATTGTTGTTACATGGCAAGAAATTTTGTGTTTTCCCAAAACATGAGGATTTGGACTTCTGTGCAAGGGTAGTTCCATAGGTCTTTTCCTTTTAGTGAGGCAAACTGTTCAAAGCAGCTAGAGGAGAGCTTTAATTCTATGACCATTTACACTATATAGATTTATCAGTTATATTATGAAGCTAGGAAAAATCCCAAGTTGATGCTTGATTTCATATGTTGATTTTAATGTGATTATTTCATATATAACTATTTCTTTTCTTTGTTTTGCTGTTTTCTTTACACAGAATCCCACAGTTAATGGACTAGAGACATGATAATTATATTTTTGTTTTTGTTCTGAGATTGAGTGAATTAGTTTGTCTAAGAATGACATTCTGTATATTACAGGAGAGGGTACATTTAAGAAACTTTATGTTTCAGTAGTCATTCAGAGACAAATACCTGACACAGTCAGTAAGGATATTTAATATCTTTAAACTGCCTTGTGTAAAAAATGTTGTTACATGTTAGACTTCCTATGGGAATGAAAGAAAGTAATGAGCAAGTTCAGGAAATGGTACTGTTAGCTGATAAGGAGGTTTAATTCTAGAGGTTAGGTATTATGATTTCCCTCTTATTCCACTGTTTTTCAGAATACTCAAATCTTCTCATTAATGAGACTCGTAAGATATCTCAGTAATCACTTCAAGCTAATTGATTGTTATAAAAATGCAAAAAGCCTATCACTATTGAAAGTGTTGATATAAATCCTGAATTCAGTTTGTTTAAAATACATTAAACTTTAACACAGATTTGAAAAGAGAGTAAATCTTTTCAAAACGTAAAGGGTTTACACTTTGATCCATTGCACTGTTTTCATGAACTCCATGATCTTTTTCAGATTAAATAGTATTGCTTAATTTGCCTTCCACAGCCATGTGCTATTCTTCTGCATATTATGTTTGCTTGTGCATGTGTTCCTCTGTATACACCTGTGGACATATATCTATATGATAGATGCATAGTGCATACAGAAATTCAGTCTGCAAATTATGCTTTTGATCAGTGGCTTATTTTTAGGCCACAGGAGGACTTTCTGAGCCATGCCTGTGTTTTCCTTCTGCCCTACAGGCAATTTTTTTCTTTCAAGTGAAAACAGTTCCTGTCTACAAGTTGTGAGTTAGTTTCCCTCCTAACTGTTCTGAGAACAGTGACATGTCCATGCAGCCAGGGAACAGGCATACATGTTTGGTATGGGAATTGCAGTGATAGCTGCTTTTTTGGCTTAAGCATTTTCTTCTTCTGACATCCTTAAGTCCAGTATTTAATCCAAACAAATTAAATGGGTCAAGTAAAACTACCAAAACCAAGAGCAACATCCTTGTTTCTTATTGTTCAAGGAGTGTGCTGTTTATTTAAAAGGTTCAATTTTTCCAAACAGGATGAAGCTTTGACCATCTGTTTAGCTACAGTAATTAAAATTAATATCATCTTTCAGAAAGTAATCTTTAAAATATATTAGATTGAAGAAAGTATGTCTCTGCAGATGCTTTACCACTATATGGAAATTAAGGAGAGAAGACTTTCTGTGTATTAAATGTTAATGTTGTGTAGGAAAGTCACAAGGATTGCCCAGAGTCTAAGATTGCCCTCTTTCTAATTGTGCCAAGCACATACTTCAAAAGCTCTGTGTCATGATTTTTTCCTTGTCTTTCTGTATAATATTTGTAAAGGGCAAATATTAGCATTTTAAACAGTCAGCTAATTTGACTTCCTGCATAGAAGAAAAATTAGGACAGTGACTGATGGCTCAGAGTTCTGATTATTACACCATTCCTTGTGCTCATTAATTTTTCTGTATCCAGTGGCTGACATTGCAGCTGACAATTAGCAAGAAGAAGAGAAACCCGAGACAAATATTCTTCAAACTTTCTCACTTAGCCCTTGATTTGTGTCAGAGGTGAATGAGCCAGCTCTCCTCCTCTGTAATACCACTACATCTCTCCACCTAAACAGATCAAGACAGAAGTATATTTAGATTCTGGGCTTATAAGGAGTATAGCTAAAGCTGTATTATATGTGGTGGTTGTTTCAAAAACTGCCACTACTGCCTCCCATATATAGTTGCAAGTCATTGTAAGATGCTTCTTGCTAGTCCATTTGGTCTGGTAAAACAGAGTTTCTGATAATTTTATGAAGCTTTTGCAAAAATGGGATGCTTGAAGCAGTTGAATGATGATACTCAGTTTTGCCTGAGATACCTCAGGTCACATTATGTGTAAGACTTGGCTATTTATGAGTCCAGTGTTGCTACATGTAGATTTTTGGTCTTCAAAATGTAGTTCATGATGCTGTGCTAACATGTTAGCAGTGCACAGAGTAGATGGCACCTGAGGTTAGGTGCCAAATGCTGTGGTGTGGGCTCATCAGGAAGCTATCTGGAGTTAACCAAGAAGAAACACCTTGGCACAGGGCTGCTTCTGGTTTCTTCTGCCCTTCGGATGTGAGGGATATGACTTGTAGCTACAAGAGAGGAGCTGTGGCCCAAAAAATCATGCTATACATGAAATGTGTCAAAGAGCTACTTTTAGTGTTCTGTGATAGTTGTGCAGCTGAGTAGTGGTTGGATTGAGCTTTCTATCACCTGCTTGCCAGCAAAATACCCCAAGCACAGAATCACGGGCTGGTTTACACAGTGAACCCTTCATCTTGTCTCTTGATGCTGGATTGCCAGATAGTCAAGAATTCAATACAAGGCCAAAGAGCAGGGAAAAGGAGCCATCCCCTGAGTCTTTTTTACACAAATAGAAAGGTCCTGCTTTATTGCTTCAGCTGAAGGCATTAGCTGTGTTTTTTCATCCAGGAGGAATCAATAAGGAGATTTAGCAGTGGGGATCAGAAGGTGTCACTTTTCTAACCCCAGGTCTGCACGTTCACCATTTCCCTGCCCAGTTAGCCTCTAACCCTAGAAGTCTTGCAGTGGATGGGTCAGTGGCAGCTGTGAACACTTGGCATCTCAGAACACTGGGGACAACACTTGGCTAAGCCAGGTTCTGAGGTAGAGAAAAAGAAGATGCTGCCTTGGTTTTGTTGAGAAACTCACCCCCATTTGTGGTGCCACAGGCCGACAGGAAGTCTCGGGCCAGTCCTGATGAAAACCTGCTGAGACATTTGCAGAAATAAAGTCACTGGAGAGAGGGCAATTATTGTCCAGTGTTGTGTTTTTGTACTGCTGGTTTTCAGTTGACTGGTGGTCATTTGCCTACTGCCTTCCTGCCTTTGTTTATTATTTTCTTTTGTAGGAATATACAGAGGTACACCTGAATTAATAATAAGAATGAAACACGCATTTCTAAAAGAGTAGGCAAGCTTTTATTTCAAAAATAAGAGCATACTTAAATAATGTGTACAAATGGGCTTGCCCATATGATTTGTCTTTTGTTATACAGATGACTAGATGGTGAAAACAAGGGAATAGCAAAACGTAACAAGATTAGTGCTGTGTTTCAGTAAGTGAAAAAAAACATTAAACAAATAAAATCTCAGAATAAATATATCTTCTCCCTCATGGAAAAAATAGAGGAAATAATTGAGGGAGAAAAAAGTGTTTATAGAAAGTGTAATCCACAAATAATACCTGCTTGGCAAAATTGTTTTAAAAGAGTAATTTTCCAGCTAGAGAAATCAATTTTTAACACATAATTGCATTAATGAACAAAGGGAGCAGATGAATATATTATTATAACGCAGCTTATAATAATTAAAATTTTAATAGAGGAAATTATTCAAGTACATTTCTATGGGAATATAATTTCTTAATTATGGAAAAGAAGACGAAGAAAGGTAATATCCTTCCCATTTATCAAGTTGTGAATAGGTGTTTAAAGTGTTATCACAAGTGTAAGTATTAGGGTTCTTCCCACTTAATATTGTCTTTAATTGTTATAAAAGGAAGCATAAATAAGTAGCATGTTAATGATGTTCTTGCAATTTTGAGCAAATTCAGGACTGCAAATAACACCAAAGAACTGTGATTAGAAAATGAAATAGTGGAAAGGCAAATTATTTCATGTTGACATCAATAGTCTAAGTTGCTCATACTCAGTAGGAGTGAGGAATCTGGAAAGGTGAAAATTTGGAAAGAAACCTGAAAATACTGCTGCTTGTCTGTAAAATAGAACTCTTGTAGAATAACATAAGTTCTTGATGAAGTCTGTCATAACTTTGGTGTATAAATGGATCCTGTCACATGGCAGGAACACTAGAGCATAAATTCTCATAGTTTCATTTTATTTTGTATTATTTTATTTTGGATGACAGTTCAATAAATAGTTAAAATTTCTTTTATATGTGGCATATTCCACACAGTGGTATTTTTCTTCATCCATGATGTAATATAGTGGTTTTCAGCATATTGTTTCCTCTTCAAACATTTGCTTATGATGTGAAGTAAAAACTTCTGCTTGTCAAAAATGTTGGTTAAAGCAAGCAAAAGCTTCTGCTTAGAATATATTCTTCAATAGTTTTTGACTGAAGACATATTTTATATATGTATTAAAATTAAATTACTCTATGTGAGCTCCTATTCATTAAATTTTTAATTTTTTCCAGATTCTCGATGCATTCTTCTTCCAGTAGTTTTACATCATCTCCACATGCATTTACAGGAGCAGAAGGACCTTATAATGTGTGCCCGTATCCTTAGCAACATATTTTGCCTCATCAAGAAGAACAGCTCAGTGAGTAAACACCATGTCACATCCACTTGAACTTCTTTATATGGCTCAGTGACATTTAATGACACAAACTGGACCTTGCCCAAGAGCATTTTAAAGAGTTCTCTCTGTAATGAATCTACATAAACATGTCATTTTGATTTTTTTCATGACCCTTTTCTTTCCATGAATGAGTATTTTAATTGTATCATGTGATGTCTGACAAGCTTTTGCACTTCTTGAGCCTTGTGTTGGAAAGAAATGTCTACTTTCTTTTAGGATCATTTTCTATTGTGGGCTGTATATTCTTAGGGGACACAGGATATAGGTAAAGAGATTGATATGAGTATTGCAGGGGGGATTGCACTTGGCTGTTAGTTGATAATCTTTGTGGTTGATTTCTGATGTTTGTGAATGAATGTGTGAAAGCTGCATAGGAGAGCACACTTAGGTGTATTGCAAATGGGAAGGTGATGATAGGTTCTGACAGACAACAGGATGTAAGACAATTAAAACCAGGCATTGCCTGCAATTAGTGCAATACATGCATGTCAAGGCCACATTACTTTGTGATGCGTTAGTGAGAACTCCTTTATGTGCTTCTTCACTCTCAGCAATTAAAGTTGTTCTGTCAGTGCTTTGATAATGGATGTGGCTTGCACCTTTGGCACTGTAACAACGTATTCCTTCCAGCTACTTCTGGACCTGGAGTATAGATAAAGTGATAGATACTAAAGCAGACCTGTGGTTTTGGACTGGGTGAAAGGTTCACATATCTGATCTGAATTTCAGAAGATCTTCCATTTGGAGTCACAAGACCTGAGATGTACACAATTACAAGTTATATCTACATAAAATTCTCCTGAATGTTCAGGATATGCAGACACTACATATAATATTCTTTGAGTAATTGAGACTGTTAACAACCTGGTGACTTTGATGTTTTTTGGTACATCAGTACAGAACTTCAGTCCTTCTGTTAAAATCAAGATAATTTAGAGACTGAGGGAACAAGTGAATTTGCAGTAAGGCAGCTTTGAAAATTAAAGCTGTTGTTCATTCCAAAAGTAGTTTGTAGTAGTAAAGAGAAGGGTCCTCATGGTAGATGCAGTTCCTAAATGTACTGTGTATTGTCTGTTTTCATAAGAAGCCAGTTTAACAGCTCTTTGATGCTAGATGAAGTGACAGAGAACATGGCTTGACAATAGATTCAACTTGAGCCCAAAAAGGAATTTTGAGTTTTGTTACAAATCACATGCTTTAGGGTGCCTAGGAAGAAAAATTAAAAAAAAAGAAAAAACTCAAATCACTCCAATACCTCAGTGTCAGTAAAGCTGATATATTTGTTTGTCAGTTGAGTTTTAGCTTGGTTGTGTGCATTTGATTATGAAGTGTTTCTTTCTGTAAAAAGTCATGTTAAACAATGGATAAAATTGCTCAGCTGAAGATGGTTTTTGCTGCAGTAGAGACTTAAAACAGTCTTGAAGCAGGGAAAACATTTCTATCTGAATTAAAAAGGAAAAGTAACTACAACTTGACTTTATCAAGTGTTTTCATGCTGATAACTGAGGTGTTCATGGTCTGTTTTGGCAGTGAATGCTTTGATTCCTTTGTTTTGATGTTGTATACAAGCAATTGTGGGCTCACATAAAAGACTAATTTGTTTGTGCTACTCGGCTGCTGGGAAGGGATATAGCTGGGCCTTACGGATGAAGCAGGTCCTGAAGGTTGAGCACCATCTGCTTATTTCTGGTGATAGTTTCAAAGTGTAAAACAGGATTTTGCTTTTTGGATTTTAAGCCTTTCTTGGCAATTTCCCCAGAAGATAGATGAGTGTTACCTATGAAAATCTTGCCCAAAAAGTTTTTGTATATTATTTACTGCTTTCTTCCAAACGTCAACTGAAAATAGAGCTGTGCTAATTTGATGAATACTTACATATTCCAAGTCATCCCTGTAAACATCCTCTGTGGTGTAATTAATGGAAATTTTTTGGGAAAAATGAATGAATGAAACAATTTCTGAATTACAGAATAGTCCCGGTTTCTTGAATGTTGTGTTCATAATGAAACTGTAATTTGTTTCTAAAATTGCATCAAAGGAATTATGCTTGTGGTCGTATTTCTCTTTTAAAATCATAAATGTTTTATTTATTATTTAAGGAAAAATCAGTCCTGGAAGAAATTGATGTGATTGTAAACAGTCTGCTAGATATTCTGTTAAGGACCATACTAGAGATCACCAGCCGACCACAACCATCAGGCTCTGCTCTGCGCCTCCAGTTTCAAGATGTGACTGTAAGTTTCTTGCAGTGAAAGAGCTCACAATTGTCACTGGTTGGACTATTAGATTTGTGAATATATTGTCTTTATGTTGTAATTCATGGTGTTAGACTTTGTGTATAAAAGAGAGAATGAGGAAGACAATGAAAACCTTTCTTGCATTCCACTCATTTTTAGTGGCAAGAGCAATTTTTTTTCATTAAGTTTATTTATAGACTTTGACCAAAAAAAAACCCAAAGCAAAGCAAAAAAACCAAGCCCAAAAGATAACATTTGAGACTTTCAGGTTAGTAATGATTTCAGTATGTTCCTTTTGTTTGCAATACAATAGCTTTCTGAAACTCTCCTTCAGTTTGAATTCCTGAAAATAGAAGAGTATCAATCATTAATAGTTCCTAAAAGGCATACATTTTTTCATTATGAAACAGCTCTAAAGATGCCTGCAGAATCTGTGATAACTTGTACTAATCTAAATTTATTACTTGAGAAGCATTTTGTTGTTCTCTGGGCTGAGTATTTGAGCTTTGTTTTTGTCACATGAAGCTGAGCATACAGGATAGATTTAGAAGATTAGCAAATGATGTTTTGGTGAACCTGCTATAACAACTCATGGAAATTAGAAGGTTGAAATACAGGCATTTACAGAAAAGTCTGTGATGAGCACTGATCAAATAAAATGAAGTGTTATTTTGCTTTGTTTGCAGCAAGGTTTTCACTTTGCTTTTCAAGGGAAAATTGGTTCGAATATAGCCAGGGATGTGACCCCAAGATGTGAGGGGTTAGCATTTTGTGCAGAAAATATACTATGCTGAATGATTTACCATCTCATTATACATTTATTAACTAATTGCTCGGTGTTTACGCTGTAACAGTTTTTGTTAATGAATAGGGGGTTGCTTTTCAAAGCAGAATTTCCTCTGAGATCAAACATTTCAAAATCATTTAATAGCTGCAGAAAACATGTGTTCTCGGGGTTTTTTTCTTGTTTTCTTTTTAACTTTAGACCCACAGAGAGCAAAGTGTATATGGAGTATTTTATGGAGCTGACCAAGCTCTGTAATGGGATAACATCACGCTTTAATCACTGTGGTTCAACAGCAATTTACCTCTATGAGTTTGGGAGGTTTGTTTTCTTTAAATTACAAAATTGCAAATGTGTGCCGTGTGGCATATCCAGCTACCACAAGAAAATCTAAGCTGAAGAAAGGGTGGTAAGTGTTAAACTGTTAGGATAGCAAAGCTCTGATCTTATTGGTTTCTTTTGACCTGTCCCATTGCAGATTAAGTTTTCATTAAGCACCATGGCAGCCTAATTCTTTTGCACCATAAAAAGTTAGACTCTGAAAGTGCTTTCAAGTTGCAAAATTCTATTTTGTGCATCAGAAGAGCTATGTTATTGTCACTGCAGGCTCCCAAAGAATACTTAATGTGGAAGTGACTCACAGCACAGCATAAGGCAATTATATACATTTATGTAGAAATATCATGCAGTATGGGCTTCTGGCAGCACACGGAGCCAGATTCTTGGAACTATTTGTAGAGCACGTATGATAAAGTACTCAATGGGAGTGCAGCAGTAGAGTCTGTTCCAGTATGTTACCATTATTTCAAGCTGCATGTGTCATTAAAAGTTCTTTGTGAGATGTACCATGGGACCACACATGATAAAATTCTGTCATAGTTTTGAATGAGACATAGTTTTCCTTGTGGAATTAGTCCCAAACCCATCTGATGTGGTCTCCTAGGCCCATGTGTTGCTCTTTTTCTTCATAAACAGCATCAAATCTGGCAGCACTGGGCTTTGTGCTGCCATGACTCCACCATTTCTTTCAGGCACCTTTGGTACCTGGATAATACCATTTAATTTTCAGTGAGCAATCTTGTTTGATGGTAACCTGCAAGATGTGTGTGATGCTTTAAACTGAGCATGAAGCAGAACACAGCTTCAGGGTGTCAGTGTTACAGATGATGCATTGACAAACATGGAATTTAAAGCAATGGTGAAAGTGAAATTTCTGGTTTGGTTTGTCACTGAATTAGACCTTTGGACTTCCTTAAGAAAATAATACATCTGCATCAAAAGAATTGGAAGAAAGCAGTCCAATTAAAGTGAACTTAAATTGAAATTTTAGATTTAAAGTACTTTTAAATTGATTTCAGATCTTGATAGTTCAGTCGCTCATAAGCTAAATGAACTGCAATTTAATTGAAAGCCTCATGGTTTCTAATAATGGGCTTCTTAAATAAGACACAAAAAATTACTTTAGGAATCTACCTAAGTGATTTTAGTATATTTTGACACTGGAATTGGACCCTGTATGTTTTTTTATCAAGATTATATGTGTGGAATTTGCTTTTGTGCATGATATGAAAGTTAATCTGTGGCCAACACTGGCAGAAATCCTACAGCATACATTCTTCTGTTGAGTTCAACAAATGAAGCTGAATGTGCATTGCTGTTTTAAAAAACAGCCTGTATAGCTACCTACATTCAAATTAAAAGCTCAAATTTAGAAGTCAGTTAACAATTAGCTGAAGTTAATGCTTTTTTAACACTAATCTGTCAGCTGTAATAGTACAGTTCTCTATAATAAGTTGTGATTTTAATATACTACTATATAAGTTGAAACAAATGTGGGAACATAGAAGAAAGGTGATTAAAAAGGACTGCTTAAAATGCCTAGGCAGGAAAGAAATTTTGTCACTCAAGCTAGCAATTGGGTATACAGATATTTACAGGACAGCAGCTGTAACCTTTGTTTATGCCCAGAGCATGAATATTTAGATATTTTGTAGCCTTAGGATATTGTTCTGAGACTGTGATTTTATGTTTCTGTGAATGCTATGTTTACTGTAAAACAAGGGGAAGTGAGAAATTTAGAATCATTACTTCAGTGTAGAAGTATCACCATGTTGCCAGTGAAAGCCATCACCTCACACATGACCAAGTGTAGCAGGTATAATCACAAATGAATTAGGCCTTCCAATGTAAAATCCAGAACAGCTGTTCTGAGATTCCTGTGAAAACACTTTTTCTTTTTAATCTTATTTTCTGTTTTTAATGAAAGATGGAGGGAAATCTTCCTAAAATTTGACTTGGCAAACCAATGAAAGACACCATTTTAAAGTACTGCTATCACATACCTGTTTTCTCAGTCTCATTCTGCATTCCTGGTACAGGCAGAAATATATTTCCCATTTTTTAGCAAGCTTATAAGATTTCAGAATTGTTCCTTCTAAGCATTGGGATGCAAACCACACCTTTGACTCTTTCCTGTCCTCATCCATTCTGCAGTCAGACCTGACTGGTACCATTCAGTGTTTCTTCCCAGTCCAAAAAGTGAGTAAGCACACAGTAAAGGGTGAATGGGAGAGCCTGTTCCTCCCTATAGTGCCTTGGTTGGTTGACTGCTTACTGGAGATACCCAGTGAAGTTCTCTGCTCTTTCAATGAGAAATTCTACCGTAAGCCCAAAGAAATTTCTGATCAAAACATTTTTGAAGTTTTTTCAGTCCTACAAATGAATGTGTTTTTTGACAAATCTTGGCTTTTTGAGATGGCAGAATGTTTTTAAAAATATCCAGCTAATTCCAGTCATTTCTTCCCTAATGGAAAACAATAGCATTCTTCCCAGAATTCTTGCAAAATATGTTTGTTTATATCTGTTTCAAAGCTGAGTTGATTAAAGAGGTTGTAATTTTAGCAGTCTAAGTAATTTGTTTAAAAACAGATACAAGGAAAACAAATCACAAATAAAAATTTTACTGGTTTAGCTCTGCTGGAACTATTTAAAATTGATTTTTCCAAGCAAGTAAAATCCATTTAGGGAAAAATATTTCCTTAAAAGGGAAGGAAGTGCAATCAATGTATTTTCACAAAATGTGGAGTTGAAGCCTAATTGTGGATTAATTTCCCTTGCATTTGTTAATTATTTTTGAAGTGTTTATATTATAAGAGTTTAAGCTCAAGTGCAGAAAACATTATAATATTTCTCCTCTTGGCTTATCTGAACAGGGAGAATTTGTCTCCTGTTTATTGTCACTCTTGCGACAAATGACTGATAGACATTATCAACAGCTTCTTGATAGCTTCAACACAAAGGAAGATCTGAGGGTGAGTAACAAAACTGTTTTTCCACTTGCTTAGGCCTTTTTATTTCTCTTTTTGATTTATCTCCCTTTGAGATATCCCTGCGCTTTGATCAATCACTTCAGTATTTAAATGCAATGTGTTTTACAGATTAGCTAACTATTGCACAGCTCTTCTTGGGAGCTTGAGTCCACTCTTGCAGTGGGGCAAAGCTATTATTGCTTCTACATTGCCAGCAGAGAGAAGATGGATGGAGCTATAAAATTGCTTTAAAGCCATGAACTTAGCCTCCAAACCTCTTTTAAAAATGTCAGTCTAAGGTTACACTGCTCTTGTTTGATTCTTACTGTCAAGTGATTGGTGAATTTTATGTTTGGCTTATTATACTTGCTTATTTTTTTCATTCATTAAATTCTGTATGGCAATAGCAAACATGCAGCTTGAGAAATGCATAATCAGCTATCTCTTCATTTTTCTTAGCTGTGCAGCACGTCCACTGGCAGGAGGATGTGTCAGACTTGTAATGTCTGTCCCCTCATTTCAATCATAGAAAAGAGTTGCTGCGGAGGTCTTTTAAGGCAGCTTCTACCAGTTTCATTAATTGAGTAATTAATTAATTTGGTTTGTGGAGATACAACATTTTTAATTCCTTTAGGGAGGAGTGGTGGGATTAAAAAAAAAATCTTGACGTTAAGATTTCCTGCATAAATGTATACACTAAGATTTCTACTTTACTGGATCCTGGAGAGTTATATAGTACCAAATTTGATGCACACGAAAAAATCTTGAGTAAGCATTAATACACATTATTCAGCCAGTAATCATGTCTTAATGCGATAATATATTTTAGGTGTTACTCCTTAATTACCATTTGATATACTCAAGTGCTGCCCTGAAGAGGGGAGTCTAGTCATGGTGCAATTTCAAATTTACTTCAATTCCTGATGATAGCTGCTTAAAACTGAAGAGAGCATACCATTTGTGAGTGCCTTTTCTTTGAGTGAGGTGGTCATGTAGAGCTTGACAGATAGAAAATATGGCTAAGAAGTTATCATAAATCAAGAGCACTACCTAGGAGTTGTATAGGGTGAACAATTTTTATATAAGCATCTGTTTTCACCTAGACTAGTTGCTATCCTTAGCCAATTTTTAGTAAATATTGTGGAACCTAGGCATTTTTTAGTGGAAATATTTTACCTTTTGTGTGAGTTCTGAACGGGTATTCTTAAAGGTTTCAAGCTATATTTCTGTTTGATATATGTATTTTATCAATAATACAGTGATAAGTTTATTCAGACTTTTCTTCCTTCTAGAATATGAAAAATCTCTAGAATTAGTGTTTGAATGGTGTTTGATTTGACACATTTAAATTCCCCCCCACGCACATACCCTACTATTATGCAGAGACATATGGAAAGCAGCTGTAGCTGGTGCCATCATCTATCACAACAGAGGTCTTAAGAACTTGAGTCCAGAGTTTGTTATTTCCATTTAGATCTTATTGAATCAGCATCAGCTCAACCAGTGATTCAGTGGTAGTTGTCTGATCATCATCAATGCAGCATTTCTTCTCTTCTGAATCTTAAATAATATATTGGTTTTTTCCCCTCACTTGGAAATATTAAATATCACTGAGAGCAAGAGGGAAGGATGAGAGCTAGTGTGTGAGACCAATACTGCTATTAATCATGAGGTGATTTTGTATGACTAGGCTATCTAAACCATCTTGCTACTTCCTTTTTTATATTTCTGCTTGATTGCCAAGTGTGGAATTTTCTTTGCTTTAAGATATCTTAGGAAATTTTATCAATCAGTATGGATAAATGAAAATTAAAAAGATAGAAATATCAGTGATAAGATGATGATGATCATCTGAGATGCTTTAGTAGCTGAATTAGTAGCCTTAGTTAATCTAGTGTCTAGTTGGGTTTTAAATTTCAGTGATAACTACCATCAGTTTGCTGTATTTCTGACTCCTTATTTTGTCCCTATCAAAGCGGTATCAAAGTGAGTTGGGTCTTCCTTGAAGCCACGTTATGAGTTACAGATCTGATAGGAGGTTTACAAGGAAATATAACCTAGGCCTTTGAATTGCTTTGTGCTCTGCTTTTTTGCTTTAGCTACCTCTATATCTATATCCATATCTATACCTCTGTATCTATAGTAAATGATTAGGCACTGATACCACATGGCACTTCATCTTTCTTCCAGACTAATTCTTAAGGTGACCATGTCAATACTTGCACGAATGTATGTTTGCACAGCGTTTGTGATACATCTGAGATTAATAGAAATACTCCTACCAAACAACTTCTCCAAACAAGAATTCACTGATGAAATTACTTGCAAAGGTTTTGCAGTTTGTTTTTTTATTAAAGCAGTCTCTACCAAACTTACTAAAGGCTGTTTCCAGCTTGTTAAAGAAAGAAAAACAAAATGGAGACTTTGAAGGAATGATATGTACACATATTTGTATGACATGTATCTGAGTGATGCCTTAAACAGGTGTCTGCTTATGGAAATAGTCCCTCTATTTTGTAAATATATTTATCTTAATAATAATTGACACGGTGACTGTTTTGTCAGTTTTTTAAGAGAGGTTTTTTCCACTCAAAGCAGAAGATAGGAAAAACATTTTATATTTGAAAACATGCAAATGAAGTATAAAAGAACTGACAGGGGTTTCATGGCTGAGTGGTAGAACTAGGCACTATGCTTCACTCACTTTTTGAAACCCTGACTTCAACAAGATAGTAATTTTAAATGCTTCCTTTTATCTTTCAATATTATTTTAAAGGTATGCTCTTTTTGCTTACCACAAAATGCTTTCTACTTCTAGTAAATATATTTTACAGTAATTTATAGAACAGAGGCACCCTTGTAGGCGGATATTTGCTGCTGTGGAAAAGCTCAAATATAATTTATGACAAAAGGTAACAGTGGAAGTTATTAATAGGAGAAGATCAGAGGAAAAGTGAATGCAAAAAAACAGTGTATGTTAGCACAATGCAGCTTTGACCACAGCAAGGTTGTTTTGATCCATTTGTTTGGGGTTTTTACTTAATAGATTAGAGGAAGACAAAAGAGGTAAGCATCTACCAGAAGGCTTAGTTTTTATCCATTGGTAGTGTACCCTGCATAATGTGTCAGAACAAAAATTTGATGAAGGAAAAGGTAATATTTCATAGGGATGGGTGTAAATCCTACTAGTTGTCATCCCTCTCTTCCAGCTCTAGGAGCCTAGGGTGAGGTGGGTGCCAAACCCTAATGCCAGGTGGAGTTTATTCCACTGTTCCCTAGTGGCTCCTGGGACAGAGGCCCATGGGATGTAGGCACAGGAGTGTCCCTGGTGGAGAAGGTCAGTTTTAGCTGCCATCCTTCCCCTGCTGTGCACCAACATCCACTCACACGTGGCACTTCTGAAAGGATGAGTTTTGGGGCAGAGGGGTAGTTCTAAAGCCACTCATTTAGGTGGCTTCTGGTGTAGATTAAGAAAACAGTGAAGCAAAGAAGATTTGGGAAAGGAAGTGGCCAAGGGATGGGTGAGTTGCCCAGGAAGTGACAGCTCACTGTGAAAACATCCTCTTTCTTATCGGTATTTGGCACTCTGGATGCTCTACAAAACCTTGATACCATGTAACCTGATAATCCTACAGCGTTAATCAAAGCAATGGAACATCATTGTGAAGCAGTTAGCTTCAAAGTGGACTGTTGACCCAAAGGAAAATACTTTATTGGATTATTTATTTATTTATTGTGTTCCAAGAGATCCAATAAAGAGTCTGATCTGCTTTGCATACATGCATACTGAGAAATGTGCAAAGAAATTCCAAGGCAGTTTTTTTTGTTAAATGAATAGATAGTCCTCCTTTGGTCCTTCAGGAGGCTGTGCTCCTCACTTAATCACAGTTTGAAAGTTTCATTAAGCAAATACTGCTGCTTGAGGAAAACCAAACAACAATATTGTATTATTTAATCATAGAACCATAGAATGGTTTGGGTTGGAAGGAAGCTTAAAGATCAGGCAGGAACACCTTCCACTAGATCATGTTGCTCAGAGCTCCATCCAGACTGGCCTTGAGCACTTTCAGAAATGGGGCTTCTACAGCTTCTGTGGGTAATCTGTCCCAGTGCCTCAGTAAAGACTTTTTTCCTAATATCTAATCTAACCTACTGTCTTTCAGTTGGAAGCCATTCCCCCTTGTCCTGTCACCACATACCCTTTTAAATAGTCTCTCCCCATCTTTCTTGCAGGCTCCTTTCAGATACTGGAGGGGCTTCTATTAGGTCACCCTGCCCCTGTCCAGGCTGAACAATCCCAATTCTCACTTTTGCAAAGGTACTTCTTTCCTCTAACCATCTTGATAGTCTCATTTGGACTCCAGTAGATCCCTGTCCTTCCTGTGATGGGCCCCAGAGCTGGATGCAGCACTCCAGGTGGGGTCTCACCAGAGTGGACCAATGGGGCAGAATCCCCTCTCCTGACCAGCTGGCCCCACTGCTCTTGATGCAGCCCAGGATACAATTGGCTTTCTGGGCTGGGAGGGCACTTCTCCTGCTCATGCCCAACCTCTCATGCACCCCAAGTCCTTCTTGGCAGGGCCACTCTGGATCTGTTCCTCCCCCAGCCTGTGGTGATTCTGGGGTTTGCCCTGACCCAGCAGCAGCACCTTGCATTTGTTCCTGTTAAAACTCACGACATTCCCACCAGCCTGCTTCTTGAGCTTGTCCAGGTCCCTCTGGATGGCATCCCATCCTTTGGGCGTGAAGTTGTTTAAGTGGTGTGAATTAATACTAAACTTTATAGTACTATCTAGTATTATTTTACAAATAGGACTAGACCTTATGTAGATTAGGTAGGAATATTAAGAGATGGTATTTAGAATATGTAAAAGGACAAAATTACTTCCTTTTTGTCTTTTAAGATACAAGACATATGAGACATTAATTCTATCTGTACTCAACCAACCAAATGTTAGCTCACTTATACTGCCGGCAAAAATGTTTTATAAATGTTAAAATCTGTTGCTGAATCTATGTTTTGCATCTAATATCACTATATTGATGACACAATTTTCTATTTTTTCAGTGAAAATTAGAAACCATTAGCCTGGTATTAATGATTCAAAATTTAATGCCAGTGTCTACATTTGCTTTGTTTTAAAGTTTGCTTGGAATAAAAAAAATGTATTCTGATTCTAGCCTAGTTACCCAAAGAAATGAAGGACATTTGATTTTCCTTTCTGACTGTTAATGACTTGTGAACAAGCTATCTCAAAGGTGCTAAGTTTACACCTCACACAGCCCTTGGACTTTAAATCTTCAAACTACTGCATGGTTTTATGGTTACCCAATAACAGCCATTTGGCCTCTTCAGTTCAGCAGTCCACTGGTGAGATCCTTAAAAGCAGCAACATGTGATAACAGATAAAAAGGGAACATGGAAGAATCTGAGATGTTATTGTGAGGTGATAAACAGCAACATTCAAGGTATTGCCATATTGTGGGATTACTTCACAGGGGAGAGAGGTAATCTCTGCAAAATAAAAAGGCACTTAAGTACAAGGTGCAAAGCTATAGAAAAATGGTCTGGAATAAATGTGTTGTTTGTAGGGAAAGGTACTTGTTTATCTGTAAAGCTGGTCACCTGCTTTCAAACAGTACGTTATCTGCAGTGAGTATCGTTTTTACTCTTTAGTACAAATAATTTTTTGGCATCTTGCTCAGAAAACAGGTTGTCTCTTTTATGTAATCTTCTCTGGTGGGTGGGTGTGGGGATCTCATCTGCCTTACCCAGTGCCTGTATTTGTCCCCCTTTACAGTGATTCTCTAATGAAAGACATCTGTTGTGCAATGCTTGTCATCTACACTTTGATAAATGCACTTGAGTGCATATTTAGGTGTTCAAAATTATTGGTATCTTCAGCTCATCTGTGTTTCGGGGTAATTCTCTACAAGTGATGTGGGCAGAATGAATACCAAACATTTCAAGGTCAGGTACTGCACTGATTCTGTTCGTTGTGTTTATATCACTTGCCTCATGCTCTTCGTGTTGTCAAAAACTCAACTTTCATACTAAAAGAATACTGGCAGTACCATACATAATCAAGATGGTCTCTTGTTAGTTTTATTTGTAAAAAGCAAAACTGAAAAAAATGTGCTGAGGGGAATAGTTTTGTTATTTATTAGTGAGTTACATGACATAGGAGATGATAATGTGGAAAGCTTCCAGGCAGTGGTTTCTACACTCAAAGTAGCTCACAGGTGTTGACTGTATTTTTAGACCCAGCAAATGAGGCAGAAAGGTTAAGTGACCTGCACACAGGCAGCCAGCTGCACAACCAGTTATGGGACCTGGGCATCTCTATTGGAGTCGCTGGTCTTGGTCGTGACAAAATTGTCCTTACACACTCTCTGCTGCTTTTAGAATGAATCTTGAAAGTGATGAAAACCTGGCATGATTAAGGAGATATTCTGAACTCTCTGGTGTTTGTAAAGTGCTTTTTTGATTTGCAAATTGTTCTCAACATCACATTTGGGGAAGTGTATGGGTGGAAACCAAATGCATCTTTGACATTTCTTTTATGCATTGCTGTCAATCAGTGGCACATTATATTATTCTCGTCATTTTAAGAAGAAAGGATTAAATCACTATTTGAAAATTCTTGGGAAGTAATGAAAAAAAGCAAAGCATTCAGAGGTTTATCTATGGTGAAAATAAGTGCATTTTTGCTATTTCTATAATAACTTTTTTCTCTCTGGTTAAAATATTTTTGAAGCTCACTGCTCTTTTTAAAGCAGCAAAGACTTATGACTGCTTCTTTTCCTTCCAAAGGATTTCCTGCTGCAGATTTTCACAGTATTTCGGATACTAATACGACCAGAGATGTTTCCAAAAGACTGGACAGTGATGCGTTTGGTTGCAAACAAGTAAGGCATTTTTAATGTTATTAAAAAGTACAGGTAATATGCACAGATCATGATAAAAGTGAAGTTATATGATGTAATAAAAATTCAGTGTATTTTTTATAATGTTGGCTTCAATTTTTCTTCTTTTAATTTAAGATTTCAAATCTCTGGACTTCCTTTATATAGCAAATTTATGATATAATCTATACCTCTTTCTGTTCTGAATTTTAGTAAGCACATGTAAGTGGAAACTCAGAAACACTTCACAGAATAAAGCTGAAAGCATCAACAGCTTTGTTTTCCAAGTAACAAATGACAAGTCTCTAAGGGTCTTCTTCTTCATATCTGTTTCTTGAAATTCTGAGTTGGTAAAGATCTGTTTGCTCTCAAGAAGAAATTAAACATAATATTGTTATCGATGCTTTTGCATGTTTGTTCATTTGGTGTTTGTCAGAAAAATCACAAAATCAGGAAATGAGGTACTGCACAAGGCAACAGTCACGGAAGGCTCTTAGTGAGATTTTCAGATGAAACCTACCTGTCAGCCATTCTTTCTCTGCTCAGGCCTTATTTTTAAAGAAACAGGTTCCCAGCATTTCTAAGAAGTAATTACAACAGGTCTGAAGCAATATATTAAGTTTTGTTTCACCTCTATCACCACCTATCCTTTTTGCAGTCTTAGGTTTAGATCAGATAAACCAGCCCAACAGTCAGCACAGCTATGCAAACATCAGTGTCAGCACAGAAGGGACGCTGTGTTGGGCACACCTAGGAATCCAGAATGAAGGATTGACTTTAACTTCCATGATACGCATCGCAACACCTGATTAAAATTCAGTTTTAGTCTGCATTGTGCCTGCTGGCTTCAAGGAGAATTTAAATTTGTGGTGCTGTGCATACTACTAGTAGCAATATTATTGGTGCAATTAAATTTAACAACCTTGTGTTTATGATCTGTATTTGTTATGAGTGTGTGTGGATATGCAAGGATAATAGTATTTCTTCAAACTTTGTTGTGACTTCAAACAATTTTTTATTAATTTTTGTTATCTCAGTGCAGCTAATTTTTTCAAGTTTGAATTCCAGGAAAAAGAAAGTTACTAATTAAAGAATGGATATGATAATTTGTTTCTGTGTATGATATTAAATAAGGTATGACTGATACCAGCTTGCATCATGCTTAAGAAATAAACAGTGAAACACAAGAAAGAAGGGAAAAAAAATAGGAACTTTTAGACAAAATATATAATCTAAGAAAATTTTACATATTGCAGTAACAGCTGCCTTGGCAGATGGCTTTGCAGCAGCTGATATGTACAGAACTAAGGTTTAGGAACGACCTTGACACATGTCACATGGCTGGTGATATTCAGATGATACCAAGTTCTGCAAAAGGAACGCTTTTTTCTTCTGCAGTATTTTAGCAACCATCACACATCTCCCTTTATTAATCCATGTCATGTTGTTTCTGACCATCTAGGAGGTGAGTCTATGCCCAGTTCTGTCAGGCAAAGAACATAGGCAGAAGCTGAAAATAACTGCTGGTGGGAATTGGCCACGAGGAGCTCACCAGACCAGCTAACTGATCCTGATAACAATTGCATAAGCACTTCTGCCAGCAAGCAGGCTATAAAGCACCTCTTTACCAATTCAGGTTTCAATAATTGCTTGGCCAGGAATTTGTTTCTATGTGGAAGAAGTGCTAGTTTGCTGTGAAAGAGGGGGTTGACCAGGTGTACTTAAATGGGTGGTGAAAGCTGAAGCCTCATTGTTCTTATGTTCTTATTCTGTTCTTTTTTGAGGCAGCAGAAAGGAAAATCTGCTTCTGTTCTCTTGTCAGCTGCAGAGAACTAGTGTTTCCAGAGCTGTTTCTGAATGGGAGCTTCTTCCTTTACCTCGTGTCCCTCACTGCAATGGCAGGGACTGCTTTCCTTCAGCCTCCTCAAGGTGCTCAAAAGCACAGAGTAGTAGCTTTGCTAGAATTGTTCCAGCCCAAAATCTTTAAGTGCAAAGGAAGAGCCTAGAGGTAGGATGTGAAATTAGGGCACTGCCTGTCCCACAGAGAGAAGTGAGCTGTTCTTCCTGGGCTTCACTTCATCAGCCAGAGCACTTCCAGGGATCTGAGGCTCTTCAGAACGAAAGGCAAAACTTCTTGAACTCTGCTCCATTCATGTCTAAAAGAAAAAGCTAGAAGGTCTAGCCTGTCTTTTTAAGAGCAGAATTAAGTGATCCAATAAGTGTGGGTCTTTTCAAACTTCTGCTTCCCAGGTATAAACCAAGTGCTGTATTTCCTGTGTCCCACAGCCACCTGCTGATCCATCTCTCCTTTCACTCGTGGGACGGTGGCTCACCTGAGGGCAGTGTGTGTGTCATGGGAGCTTCACCCATGGCTGCAGTCACATCAACAGCAGCAGCACTGGCTTTCTCTCCCTGTCCCTGGAGTGATAGAATTCAAACTCTGATATTTACAGGGAGAGAGATCTAGCCTATCTGAGCCTAGGGAAGAAATAAGTCTTAGAAAGGGTATAATCATGGAATAAGCTTTTCCTGGAGGAGAAATTACTTTTTTTTTCCTCTTACTTATGTATACAGAATTAGAATTACCTGAAATATTTCTAAGTCTTAAAATGCCATAATTCTTACAATATACAATATTTGCATATAAAAATATCATTGCCCCCCGCCTTCTAGTTTGCTTTTTTTTTCTTTCTAGTTGTAATGCTTTCAGTAACTATGTAGGTTCTGATACTTGGATGCTGTTTGGGAAATTAAAAAAAAAACAAACACCAAAACCAGAAGATGCTATGAGCTCAAGAAGTCGAATCTGTAACTGCCCTGAAACTAAGATGTTTCCTGATGACACATGTATGATCTATAGTTCTGAATGTTCTGATGCCCAATGTGTGGAAGTATTAATGGCTAGCATTATAAACTGCCAACTGACTTCTAAAATTCAAGAAATAAAGTAACATTTAAAAAGGCAAACTTAGGACTAAAGCAGGGAAATAGATTTTTTGAATTGTATTCTGTAATGGAAAGAGAACATGCAAAAACATCCTTAGCTTCTAAGAGTTGAGTGAAGAGACAGAAATAACTCTGTTTAAAGCTTCTGTGTAATATTTATTATATATTAAAATCTATATTGTATATTAAATATTATATAATTATAACTGTGTAATATCTGAGCTAATCAGCATGCATGCAGGAAAGCAAACTAATTATTTGTGGTCATTTAATATTTCTAATGTGGATATTACTACTGAGTGACAAATATGACTATGTTTACTATGGAAAATATAATTTTAATTTCTTTCATTCTAGGGGTAGACTTCCTTTCTACGTTAACTAGGTAGTATCTAGATTCTATTTGTAACTGCAGAGGAGCACCACATAATATAGGAAGATGTCTGAATTCGTTGCCTAGCGCCAGAAAGAAATACTAAATTTTATAGCAAAATATGCCTAATTAAAATTGAAGCTTCTGGAGAAGACCTTCACAGTTTCAACTGGAAATCACTGTGTAATGGTCACTGGCTTCAGTTTCCTTAAGGTCAGGAGAAGAGTGACTTATCTAATACTTTAATTGCCTGGCATCTTTTGAGAGCAGTTAAGAGACTCAGCTGAATTTCGGGTATGTCATGTTATTAACAGTTGAGGAGGGACTTGAAGAGCAAAGGAGTTTCATTTACTTGCTGAGCAAATCTTTGATATTTATGACATACTATGCCTTGTGTATTATTGAACAAAGAACTACTTTTCTGCTTCTCTTGGTATGCAAGAAGCTTTAATTTTCAAGACCTCTGTTTAATTAACTATGTATATCCTTTCAGCATTCTGCTTAATGGCTGAGATGCTAGGTCATCCAATCCTCAATTTGAATATCATAAGCATACAAAATAGATGTACAAATAATATTATTTATAGTAAAATAATTGACCTGTAAAGTAAGATTTACATAATATGTTTCTTAAACTGAAATTTAAAATATATCTACTGACAGTTGGGCATAAGGACTTTAAGCAGAGAATCCTTTTGGTTATCAAATTTAGTAATGGCTGAAATACATTATTATTATTATTATTATTATTATTATTATTATTATTATTATTATTATTATTATTTTAACTCAAATGGAATACACAGTAAGGGAAGACATTGAATCAGCATTAATGTCATCATTATGGTGCTCTGAAGAATCCTGTTAGCTCCCATGGTGTGGGAGTCTGAGACTCCTACAATGAACAAAAATTCTTGCTTTTATGTAATACAAAGTGCTTGCTAACAACATTTTTGCTTTTATGTAATACAAAATGTTGCTAGCAACTGAGCCTGACATTCAGTCCTTCACAAAAAACAGATATACATAGCCATGCATGTATAAATAAGCTCATAAACATATAAGAGTATTTACATACACATATATGTGATTCAAGGTTTATTTCATTTCTTTATGAAATATGAAATAATTTTTTTTTTCTGTTTGAATACCTCTGCATTTGGGATTATTTCACTCTGAAATAGCAAAGAATGGAATAAGAAGCTAATGTTATACGTTTGTCCTATATCAGCATGGAAAAGGAAAGCTTTCATTTTCTGCCACTGGTTGCCCAGGCAAAAGCCAAGTTGCCAGAGCATAGCCCAGGCATTAAACAGTTGTTGAACTTCTGGATTTTTCAAACAGCTTATTGCAGAAAGGTTTGCTTTGAAAATTTGATGGAAAAGCCATTCCACCAACAATGGCCTTAGCAGATATTGGGTTAGCATCCTGTGCATGAGTCCAGAATAACTTAGTAGCTAAAAGCAGAGGGGTTTTGCCTGTAGAACAGGCGATCTGAACAAATATGTGGCAGGTGGTAAGAGGAAGAAAAGCAAGTCTTGTCACAAACTCAGTAGTTTATAGTTTGATACTCAGATGGATTTCAAATGAATGTTGTTGTTTGGAAATCACTGGCTGGGAATCAACTTGGAATGTGAGTACTGTACCAAGTCAGGCAGCTGTCCTCTGGCTGCTGCTTCTGCTTTGTGAATTTTTGCTTTTATTGTATATGAGCATCCCCAGCCTTAGCTTGTTTTCTGTTCTACCTGATTTTAGATTGTTGTAGATTCAGAATAACAGATGGTGGGGCAAAAACAAAATCTTCAACCTTGTGTGTTGCATCTGGTGTTTTGAGGGATTTTTCGTCTACAACATACCCTCTCATATTAGAGACCCACATTTTTTCAAATAATCCATATCATAGCTTTTGGCTTACCAAATAAATGAAACCTGAGTTAAGTTCCCTATAGGAAGAAATACTTGCATTGCAATTATTCTGTTAAATCAGGAAAATTCTTTAAAAAAATATTCTAAAATTTGCATTTAAGATGTCTACTTTATTCACCTCCTAAGGATTGAAGATCTTTCTCTTCAGTTTCACCTGCCATGGAAGAATGTAGCAAGAAAGGAATTGTCTCAGACATAAATAGAACTATATAATGTAAACTTGGCGGTATGGTTATGAATCTTGTGGAATTTTCTCGAGTACAATTTTTTCAGGGATTTATTACTTTTGACTTAGGTGGAAATTTCATCTAACAATAATTCTAATAAACTGACTTTTTCTACCAGAATGGCTTCCTGAAATATATAAACTGTTTCCATTTTGTGACGCATATGGACCTTAAATCAAATCTTGCACAACAACAAGAATGATGGGGCTCTGTTTTTATCCATGCCTTGATTATTTACTTCACTTATACTGCATTTTGCTAATGTTTCACTTTGTATTCCATGCTGCAACAGCGAGTGCTGTACACAGGCTGTAACTCTCCATTGGTGAAAAAGTGGAATTAATTTACTGATGAGTACTAAGCATGGAACACTACTTGGATAGAAAAGTTACTGTGTTATCCTTGAGAAAATAATATGTATGAAAACACACTTGAGCAATGGCATAGGAATAAATCAAACTTGAGACTCAAGCACTGTTCTAAGAACAGACCTGGCTGTTATGGGGGTTCAGGCACATCAAACAAGAAGGTAAAGTTTGGTGGGGACAGTAATTTTAGAAGTAGAAGGATGGAAGCAAACATTTGAACTACTGATATGTTAAATTATACATAGCCATTTTTTATTTATAAATGTCTAAACTGTCAAAAGTGCTAGAAGAAAAGTACAGTTTATCTCCTAGGTGGGTTGGCTAACTTCTCCAGTATTGTAAAAATGAAAACTATTGTAACCTTGTAACATATATATATATATTGCTGTTATTATACTTAATGGGTGTTTTGTATTGAATGCATTGCAAAAAATAGTAAAAAAAACTATGGTCAAAATATAGAAAGGGAAACATATTTTAGTGTTGCAACAGCATGCAGGTCAAGAACTATGTTCAAAGAAGAATTAAATGTGTTAATAATAGATGGTAATTAAATGAAATGTGTAGCTATAACCTTTTTCTCAGAAGATCTTTAAACAGTTGTTGTAAAATGTTGTAAAATACATAATAGCAAAAAGATCATTCTAGTTTTATTTTTTTTTCTCTGTGTAAGTATTCACTTCTGACTGTTTTCAAAAAGAATTTAATGCTTTATATGGATTTTTAATTTGACTAAATATGTTGGCAGACAGCAGTGCTGCAGAGCTTAGTTTAAGGTTTGAACCACTTAAATTAGGTGTATTTAAATAATCTCAAAGAATGCTCTGTTTCTGTAGATCACCAAAGTGGGTTGCTACAATAAACAAAGCCATCATTGACCCCTGGTGACAATCACTGTGAAAGGGTCTTGGTCATATATATTTATTTTAGATAGATTACTATAATTCAGGTGGGTGTAAATGTAGGGTAATGTATGACTTTATACAACATACAGACTAGAAATCTTTAGAAGCAGATCCTTCTTTCAGAGCTCGCACAGTTTTTCATTTATCTGTTGTCATTTTTGTCCATAGGGGTGCCAATGTTGAATACTGGCATTTATTAGATATTTTATATTTATAATCTATATGCACTTATTTGCACTACCAAGAAAGCTGAAAACAAATTCTACAACTCTGTGTATTAATACCATTAAGACAAGGTGTGTCATAAATCTGGAATCATAGTTATTTTCAGAACAAAGTTTATGATTGGTCTTGGTTATATTCTTCTATACAGAATGCCTTTTTTTTAGTGCACAGTCTTATAGCACAGCTTATCATCTTAATGGGCATGTTTTCTGTCAATAGGTGCTGTTAGGTATTTGTATGATATGTTGAAAATGATTTGAGTATTAAATATGAATTTCCACTTAATAAAACTCTCTTTTTTTGTTCTTCCCAGTGTGATCATTACTACAGTCTTGTACCTTTCGGATGCCCTTCGTAAAAACTTCTTAAATGAAAACTTTGATTACAAGGTAGAGTAAATGATGGATGCAACAGTTGCTACATCATCCTGTGGCTTGGTGATTATTAAACATATGTACTAAATCAGCAATTTCAAGCTTTCAGAGACATTTTTTCCTTAAATACAGGACTATCTTAAAAATGAGTGCTGTGAGGTTTTTAATTTCATTTTATTTTTCATTTTGTTATTTGAGCCTCTTTGTTAGACTACTTATTTAGGATTTTTGCATCACAATTTTTTGGTTCATAAAAACTAATGAAATTATTTAGCTGGATTTTTTAGTTATTACAGAAAGAAAAAGTATTTCATTTTTTTAATCAATGCAAATTTATATAAAATGCAGATTTATATTTTTGTAATATCTCTAGACCAATTAACATGTTGCATAATTAAAATTAGAAAATTATGACACTTCATGGTGAATGTAGTTAAAGATGTTAGTGTGTACCTCATATAGTGCAATACTGCATTTATAATAAACTGTGAATTACAGCTTTTAGGATTCAGATGAGAAGATGTAGGAATGTGTCTGAAAAGACACATTTCCATGGAAACAAACCTGAATGAATGTTCTACCCAACCAAGAGACGTTAGTCCAACTGCTGCATCATGAAAAGTGCAGAATCTCCTTCCTAGAGAAGACACTGAGTTCTTGTTGACTTCCAGCAGGGCTGTGGATGCTTCTCTGAAAATCCAGACTCCTCTTAGATAGATTGGCAGGAATGCAGATTTATCTACTTAACTGAACATGAGGAAGCCTATTCTTTATGCATTTTTGTAAGTTCAGAGGCTAAAACTAATAAAATAATTTCCTGTAGACAAGACCTCTATGTTCCTTAAACTTGATTAGCAATGTTATTGCTGTCCTGCCGAACTGCAGGGTCTGGAATAGGGCTCCCTCTACGCTTCCAGTCATGGAGCATCTATGATTGGTTATAGTAATTAGTATTTCACTTTAATTTTATCTCTAAGTAGAGATAAATCTGATTTATAAAGCATGAGCACAAAACATCTGTATATCTGCAATATCGTAATGAAATCTGGCTTTAGTTTGTCCAGTGAAGGCTGCAGCAGGTGAGACTTGCAAATAGTGTTACAAGGTATGATGGACAGAGAACGTCAGTCCTGTTATGTGATAGCTTTTGAGGATTTTTTTGGGTTTGGAATTAAAGTCATAGCTTTCATAGTTTTCTATTTAAATATCCCCAAAAGAAAGTCTCCAGAAGGAAAGCTTTTTGATTTGGAGGGGTGAAAAAACCCAGTCTGTAACTTTTACATTTTGAAGTGTAGGATATGCAAATAGATGTAGTTCTGCTGAACATCTTGGGGTTGGTGAAAAGAATATTTTGAGTCAAAGAAATTTAGTCAAAAGCAGTTTAAGTAATTTATTAGTTGAGATTGAAATAAGGGCTGTGATTTGAAATTTTGCGTTTGAGTGGTCATGAATTGTACTGAGAAAATGAAATAACCACATGCCATATGCTTATTGTAGATATGGGATTCCTACTTTTTTCTTGCTGTCATTTTTATAAACCAGTTATGTCTGCAACTGGAGATGTTCACACCTTCCAAGAAGAAAAAGGTTTTAGAAAAGTAAGTATTGCTATCAGCTTGTAGAAAACGGCAAGAAATTTAAAATTTATCAAAATGCAAGACCTTGGAGGTTGCAAAAGGACCCCCCCAAAAGAGAAACATAAGAGTACGTCCACTGACTAGAAAAGAGTTGGTCCTGGCCCTTTGTACAAGTCTTCAGAGCCAGTAACCTTCATATGAGTGCCTAAAGTGGTTCAGACACTGGGAGCAAAACAGACGTTCATTGCCAGCGAATGCCTAAGTCAATCACACTTGTTCAGGTGTTTCTGCTAGGCACTGCACTATTGTCTGTATGAATGAATTGTATTTCTTTAAGCTAGAGCAAAACTTTTTGTTCTCAGAGAACTGGAGCATGTTATGGCAAAAAATAGGTTTTGCTTCTCAGCTGTGTTACTGATGTGTAGCATTTTGACAATATTTCAAATAAACTGGGTTTAGGAATCCAGTTTCAGCTGGGTGTAATCAAAAGCGAAAAAGACTTGGGAGAAGCCAGCACTCTCAAAGTTGAACTACAAATGAGACATCTAATTTAATAATGTGATGGAATGGCATATGAACTTGATTTTCTTAAATTATCTTTCACTTGCTTGCTTTATTTTTTAATACACTGCAGATACGGTGACATGAGGGTAACAATGGGATGTGAAATCTTCAGTATGTGGCAAAATTTAGGTAAGTGATTAAACACATCATCAGTAACTCAAAATGAAAGCCAAATATTAGTTCTTTGCCTATTATATATACTTCCCAGTGATAGACAAGTTGTTGATAATTATGTTCAAGACATGAAGTCTTGATTCAAGTTTAGGGAAAAGTTTGTCATCTGTAGTTCCCTTCTTTATAGCTAAACTCAGCTTTCTATGCCTTGATACTGTAGCTTACCCATCTCTATTTCTTCACAGAGAAATGAGAGAACACCATCAGAGAAAATTAAGAAAAAAAGTACCACTCCTTCTGGGCAGAATTATTATGCCTTGAAATATACTTAACGTTCTTATTCTTAGCCTTGTTGTCAAATTGTTTAAGGACAAGACATGTCTAATTTTGAAGCTCTCCTGAGATCCTGGATTTGCATCAGGTCTTCTCTGAAGTCTTAGTTGCACTAAAATATAAAGGCACAAACAAGTCAGTGACTAATGTATTAATGAGACATTGGACAACATGGAAAAAATACATTCTTGAATATAAACTTAGGAACACATATTTTTAAGCAACAATTGTGCAAACTCTTTGCAATTATGAGTGTCGGAGAAATGCAGTTCAATGTTGTTTGGGAAAAAAATAAAAAGTGAGTAGAAGATTCGGACACTACATTTGTCGTCTTTATATTTTAATTATTCAATATTCACTTCATCAGAGGGCTTATTAAAGATACAGCAACTGTCACCAGTGATTTCTGAGATACTGTCAATTTCAGGTCTGTCAATCTTTTCCCCAGCACAATAAGTAGTTGCAAAAAATTGGTCTTTCAGCTCAGCCTGTACTAGAGAGACATGTTCAAAACAAGAAATATTTTCTTTTTAATATCTTGTTAACATCTCATAAGTAGCATATTTTACTTATTTAAAATATTTAGTATTGAGTCACTAAGACATCCCTCTACATTACATGAATACATTATGGATATTTCAAAACGGGTATATCTGGGATACACTCCCAGATCCCATCTCCTTCCTGCACGTGTGTGGAGGATAAGTGTGCATCACCTCCCCACTCATGTTGTTCTCTGCTGAATGGAACCTTGGGATGCAGTCAAATGATGCCTTTCAGTAGGGTGAGTCTTGTGGGACACGATATGGAGCTCATCTGGTAATATGCCCAGCTAAATGTTAGGATATTTATTGCAATTGGTGCAATGCTAGTTGGCATTTTACTATTCTTGTAGCAGTAAGAGTCATCGTATCATAAGCCTTGATCCTCGTACAGTCACCTTGCTTTCATAGGGATAAACGTTCTAGGGTGTTTCCAGAAAAGGGAGTTCATGTTTTCCTTTGCACAAGTGCAGACACTGAACAGAGCAGCAAGCAGGGGTGAATGCCCACTGGAATATCCAGAGGTGGGCTGGATGTAAATGAATTCCTAGCTTGGAAAATCAGTGCATCCTGATTCATAATCCCTTAATTTTGAGGTTATAGGAAGTCTTAATTGTGAAAAATTGAATCTGAATGGTCAGTGTTTGCTGTATGCCTTTCTGCCATTTCTAGCTTTTCTGACAAGAACTCAATTTTCTTTTAAGTGGAATGTGGTGAGATTTTTTAGAACTGATTTTAAAGCAAGTTGTTTTAAGAACAGCTGGGTTGTATTTTCGTTTTCTTGCAATTGAAATATGTACTTCCATTTCTATACTGGCAAAACTAAAGATAGGTAAAAATCAAAATACTTACCTTTTTGATGAGCACAGATTATCAGAATATCAGAAAATTAATGATTTTGTAAACACAAGTATTTAGGTCTTAGAAAACAAATTATTCCTCTGAAATATAAAGGAAATGCAGAGAGTGCTTTGTCTGTCTTTGTTCTCTTGCTGGAGGATTAACTTCAGATACAGCTAACCTACTGTCACTTTTGAACTCAGTATTGCATAGTAAAATCTGATAAATTATGTTTGCCTTATGTTCTTTTGTCTATAGCTTTCACTTTTTGGGCTTAAGGAATAGTCTATGCTGTGATGGACATGTGATTAAAAAAAACCCTATGGGCATTTAAAATGCTATTTTTTCATTCTTCAGATAGCATTTGGATTGCTTGGTAACTCACAGGACACTCAATTCACATTCAAGTTTATGCTCATTTTCGTTTTAGGAGAACACAAACTTCACTTTATTCCAGCATTGATTGGCCCTTTCCTGGAAGTGACCTTGATCCCTCAGCCAGACCTGAGGAATGTAATGATTCCTATTTTCCATGACATGATGGATTGGGAGCAAAGGCGAAGTGGCAACTTTAAACAGGTACTTTGTGTGAAGCTGTTAATAAAACAGGACTGAATATCAAGCACTACATAAGAGTCCTGTTGTGTCCTGGAGTTCCCTTGGTGGTTCGGGGTGGAGAAGGTATCCACAACTCTGCCTGTGGGAGAGGGATTACAAGGGCTTTCCCTTTTCTCTCTTTGCAGGGCTAGTAAGGTTCTCTAGTTAATACTTTTGTGTTGGTCATGTGAGATGAGGAACAAAATCCATGGCCTGCTGAAGTGAAGAACAAAACTTGAGCTGTTTTCAACAAGGTTGTTGTAGTGGTTTTTCACCTCTGCTTTACAGTGGTACAGACTGCTGGTTAGATAGGATTCAAACAGCTTCCCTTCTGGTTACTATGGAAAAATATCAGATGTTCTTCAGTAAAGATCCAAGTATGCTTGTTGCTCAAACACTTTCTTAATGGGCTAGAAAGGAACGACCAAGAGTGCCATCTGCTCCCTCAGCTCCCACTCAGTTCTTTCACACTGCCTCAAACCATCCTCCGAGCCCTCCTTCTTGCTGCTTCAAAATGAAGGAATGTAGAAGTATTTTAATTACTCCCAGGCAATCATAATGCTTGGGGTGGGACCTGCATCTAAAACACAAACCAAACTATTAAAAACAGAGTAGTGCATGTGAGATAAGTAAGTAGCTTTTCTCCATCAATATATAAGCTTATTGCTAAAAATTACCCTAGAAATGTTAACAAGGAGTGAGAAGGAAGAAAATCCACTTGTTCTGCTTCTCTGTCTTTTCAGATTGGTTTTAAGTGTAAATTGTAATAGATTTATTCTGTAATAAAATAATGACAACAGCTAGGTTTCTCCCCTAGATTTGTGATTGTTAATGTATTACTGATAAAAAGGAGGTTTGAAATATAAATACACAGCGTAGCAAAAGCTCTATATTTTTTTATAATCAATGCACTTAAAAATATGCATTGGAGGAATCATTTGCCACCAGATTTTCCTAACCACCAAGTTTCTTTGATAGCTCATATCTAAGTCCAGGAAATTTGCTTTCTAATGAAATACACTGGCAGGTAAGAATGTTGGGAGACTCTGAGCTCCCAAGTATTCTGAACAGTGCAGACATTTATGTGTATTAAATTATAAAGAATGGGGTGCAGGTTGGAAAAGATGATATTTTTACTTCAGTCTAAGAAAATAGCTTGTGCTTACAGCCTTGCAATGAGAATTCAGGCAATTTATTTGGGCTGTGTGCTTTTCCTCTGACTCCATAAATAGATAGCTGCCTTAGCAGCAGCAAATGCTACTCAGCCTGTAGTTTTAAAGTCACGTTGCTCAATTTAAATTAGCTCCCTCCCTCCAAAAAAAAAAAAAAAAACCACCAAAAAAAAGAGAAAGCCCTACAAACCTCAGGAATTATAACAGCTTCAAAGAGATGAAGTGACTTATCACATGATTGACCAATAATTCTAAAATATGCATTTAGCAAAGTCCCTTACATAAAACCAGATCTTCCTTCCATTTTCTCTAATCTCATTAAAAGAAAAAGAAGCTGTTTACACCACACTTATATGTTGCAGGTGGAAGCAAAGCTGATTGACAAACTGGACAGCCTAATGTCAGAAGGTAAAGGTGATGAAACATACCGAGAACTCTTCAACAGTATGTGAGTAATATGTTTATCTTATAATTCCTTAAGCTTAGTTGGCTGTATCAGATATAAATGTCATTGTAGAGAAGTAATGCTTAAACCAGTTGTGATGCTCATTTTTCTTTTTTTTTTTTTGTTTCCTTAAAATCTGAAGAATAAAATGTTTCATGGTGTTGTATAGCATCTGGCAGTAAAGTCTGGCAGTACTTTTCGTGTACAGCTATAATTGGGAAAGGCTAAATCTGTTATATCACAGAACATTCTCTTTCTCTACCTACTAATTTTAAAATCAGAAAAGCTAGAAATGCATCATAATTGCATAGGGTGCAGGTAGAGCTCAGATGGAGCATTTTGAAAACAAGGCATGACAATTCAACAAAAAGCATTTAATAAGTGATTTTCTATGGCTAAAATCTTGTACTCCACTGGGTAATGTCACTTGTTGATTTCCTGTTTGATGTAAACAATTGTGTTTATTCTGATAAGATTATTTCTTTTAAATTCTTTTGACAAATGACTGGCTAAGCTTTTAGTGTTTTCTAATAAATGAAATGCCACTTAAATCTAATAGGAAAAGCTAATGATAATGCTGAAGCACCTAAAGTCGTGCATATATTATTCCACTGACTGAAATACATTATTGTCACAGAGTACAGGTACAAAATAACTAACTGGACTCTATCTCTGTTATTCCTCAGAGCTCAATTCCACCAAAGTGAAAGATTTCACTTAATTCTAATATATTTATTTTAGTAAGAGATGTGGTATTCCCCTTCAGGATTCCAAGCTGCTGTGTTTTATTCAGTTCTACTAAATACAGGATTTTTTTTTTCCTGTTTATACAGTTACTTAATCATTCTTTCTTCTTTAAATATTATTTTTAGCTCACTTGTCTTTAGTTAAAGAACAAGATTCAGGTCTTGGTGTCTGCAAATAGCTAACATTTAATAATCCGTAATTGTACTGAGTTAAAAAAATAGAGTTCCTAAATATTTATCATTTATAGAAGCAAAAGTGGGTAGAGAGATTAGGTAGAATAGTATGGAATTGAAAGAATAATAGCAAACAGCAGTACAGTATGCTAAAGCAGAACTTTCCTGTAATTATTCATGACATTTTCATAATCTGAGAAAAGATAATAAAAGGTAAAATGTTTTCAATATTTTAGTAATACAGTATTCTAACTGTAAAATTAAGCCATTAAAAGAAAAGCTCTAATTACAAAATGAAGCTTATATAAAAATACATCACTGTGTCTATCACTGAAATAACTTAGAATTCTATAAGAAAACATGTAAGTATCAAGTACAGTTCCTAATTTTTTATGGTTTTGAGTTAGATTTCAACTGGGGAATGTTAAACATGATATAGTGAAAAATGCTGAGAGCCTTTTATAAATCTAAATGCTGAAAACATAGTCATGGTAATTTAAATTGCAAAATGTCTCACAGCATCAGTATACTTGTTGTTTCTGTCACGGTATAACAGAAGTTTTAAAACTAAACTGGGAAATTTCAGAGTAAGTGCTCAAGTTCACTCCCAGGTAATGAAAAAGGTATATTTATGATTAGTTTTTTTCTTACTTTGATTGACTGTACATGCATTACCATGTCTCAAGAGGAGAGCCTGTAGAAGATACTAATCTAAAATGGAGGGTGACATATTGCTCTAGGTTATGTGAAGAAAAATGATGAAAATCAGATGGACAGTTCAGGGAGTTGATTGCAAGAGACAGGGTTGGTTAGCCTGAGATTTTGGGGTTTCTTTATTTCTTCCATGGGTAATTTTAAGAATAAGCAATATTAGGGTGTTTACACAGTGAAAGAAAGCAGACTTGTTTAGGCTGAAGTGGCAGGGATGTAGCAGGTACCCAAAAACTGAAATAGTCATGCAATTTCGAAGCAAGCAGTGGCTTCTTAGTCTTTAATGAAAGGAAATGCTACAATATCACCTGATCTTTCTGAAGATTAGGCGTGGTTGCTTTTGATTTCCAAGGAGATGCACACACCTACTTTGAATACAGCCTGGGAACTGCAGCAGTTGTGACACTTTCAGGTTTTGTCATACTGTTTATTTTGTCTGAATTAGAAAATGAATTTAAATCTCTTAACTCCCACGTTAACTGCCTTTTTTTTTTTCCCAGAGACAATCACTGCATCTTTCCTTTGAACGTCTATTTTCAAGGATAAATTATAAGCATCTCTGGAGATAGCTAAAACATTATGTGCTTAGAATTTGCTGCCTACAGTGGGCATTTAGATAGAATTACCTGTATCAAATAAAAACTCAGAGAAAGTAGGGGGAAGGTGACTGTTGTTTGTTTTGAATCAATGTCTTCCTAGGCACTTGAATATGACCATTCACTGATTAGCTCCTTATGTCATTTGAAGGAGCTGCAAAACATGAAGTAGTGAACATTTTGTTATGGTGAGAAACTAGATGTTGCAATTGCTATCCGTTGTAATTATGTTCTGAAAGCTGTTCTGATCTACATTTACATTGTAATACTGCACTTGAATTCCTGAGTTAATTAGCACAAGGAGAAGAATGATTTACTTTATTAAACGGCAGGTGGTTAAAATAAAATTCTCAGAAGCTGTGGTATTATACTCAAGTAGGTCTTTCTTCTGAATCCGATGCATTCTGCCAGTTTTTTACTTCTGTAACTGTATTTCAGTTTGGCCTAAGACCAACCACTTCAGATTTGGAAGTTAAGTGGCCACATTGAATCACAAAACCTAATGAGTTCTGCTGGGGGCCTGGCAATGAGGCTTCTCTTTGAAGAGATTGTAGCTGGCATTCAGCTGAGAAGGCATTTATAAGTTCTGCCAGTTTCTGGGTGACTTCTCCAGCCATAAATCTATTATATAAAAAGTGATGGCTGCTACCTTTCCTCTGCTGCCTTCAGTCATCCTAGTTTCTTCTCCAAATGCATGACTAAATTTGGCACTGCCCAGTCCATTAGAGTCTGTCTGGAGAGAGTCTTTTGAGAGCCTTTACGAGTCATGTTTTAAAGCACCTCTAGAATTAGCTGCTTGTGACCTAAAAGCCTGAAAAAGGCTGTGGTTTAGGCCTACAAAATCCATTTGCTGCATGATTGAGCTAGCCTGAACATTGTTCTAGCCTGCTTTTCATCCCTGGAGAACTCTGTTCCTCTTGATCACTATTCTCTTACTCCTGGGGTACCCAGGATTAAAAATAATTAAATACACACGCACACACACACACACACACCCCTTTCTCCCCACCACTCCCCACCAAGTAAAACAAAGCAAACCATAATTGTTCAGGTGAGCTCAGTGTTAGGCTATAGCAGCATGGATGTACAGAAACATTTTTATAGTCTCTGTTGTTTAACCCCCTTTTAGTGCTTTGTACAAGACAGCCAAGCATCTTGGCTGTGCTTTGGAATCTGTAAGAACAGGGATTCAATTCTACCTAGATTTAGCCAGAATATGCTTGAGTAGCTTTTTCATTCTGAGTGTTTGTTCTGTGCATTGTGCTGGAAATGTAGCATGGGGAGAGGGAGGCATACATCAGAAGACAAGTCTTAAATTTTTTCAACCGACCATGTTGATATCAGCTTGTATAAGTACTTTGAATGTATCTACTCAACTCATTATTAGAAACTGTGTCTTTATAATGAATGTGCCAATGCAATTTTAAAGAAAATGCCTAAGTCAAATGCAGAACCATCTGTTTTAAATGAGAAGTTTTTCTAGAGGAAGTACCGGTTGTTATTTTGTTGAATCTAGGTTGAAATGTTCCTCTTTAATATGGGGTTAAAACAAAGTAGAAACAAAAAATCCCTGCAGCAATCAATGTTTAATAATGTGACAGGCTCTACTCTTATTTCTTATTAGACACAAAAACTTCTATTAGAAGGAACATAAGGGGTTCAGAAGTGAATTAAGTTAGCCTGTGTATTCTGTATGGAAAACAGAGGTGCCGGCTTAGTGCTTCAGCATTTTCTGGTTAAGGACAGTCTTGTCATCTGCCTGCTAGCAATGAAAGATAGCCAGCCTCTAATTGTGAAGGAAAGACATCTGACTGCCTCCTGGAGGGAAGTGAGTTTAAGATTTGTATATGGGTGCAGGATGAAGATCACTATTTCCTCCTCAGTTCCAGCAGAGCACAGCTTCATTTAGGTCAAATTTGCTTGGTGAATTGCATCTGTGGCTTCCCCAAGCCTGTAAGGAGCAGAGCTGGAGTGTATAGCTAGTGCAGTTGGCATGTAGGAGTTCCTGAGCGCTGTTAGAGGTTTGAAATTTGGACGTAGGAGTTGTTAGGGACTGAGCATGCTCAGGGTAGATGAAGGTCAGTGGAGCTGACAGCTTGCCCACTGCAGACAGAAGGTTCAGAGATGCTATTAACAACTCTCTAAAAACCTTTAAGGATGTGGGAATTTTCAGAGGCTTCTAAATAAACCATAACTGAGTGCATTTTCAGGGAGATTGCTGAAATATCTCCATGGACGTGTCATCCACCTGAGCTCCTGCACCAAAGCATAAAAGTAACACGGCTCTGTAGATAAATATTTCTTTGCTCGTTCTTATATAGAAAATGTGAGAAATTCATGCCTAAATGATAAATATTTGATAAATTTAAGCAATGAAAAACAGAGGCTTGTAGCAGAATTATATAAAGAATAATAATAAAGAAAATTATATTCAGTATAGTTTCACTGACAGCTCCACTTACGTTGCCATTTTGAAGTCTTTCAACTTCAATGTGTAATCAGCATTTACATTGGCACAACAGTTTTTAATAAAATAATCTTATGACACTATAAACTAATGCAATTGTACATCTGCATGATAGTATGTTCTCAGAAAGAAATATTAAGTGAAGAGGGAGATATTAAGTGAAGGGGGGGGAATCATCTTGTTAAAATCCCTCCTCTATTCTTAAATTTCATCCATACTGAAACGTTAGCGAAGAGAAGACAAAAGGAAACATCTTTATAAAAAATTGAGAAGGTATATTGAGCTGATTAATATTCTTTTCTAGGAACAGCTTTAAATTCCACATATTTTGACGTATCAGCATGAAGTGAATATATAAATTTTTTGGAAGAATTGTGTTAAGTCTTTGGGGTATTAATATATTCTGAAAATTAGGTATTTGATATATTGTAACCTGATGCAGCTAATATAAAAATCATTTGTTTTGTCAATGCTTCCTGGACTAGAATTCCACTTTTTGGTCCTTATCCTAGGTAAGACATTGTTTGCAAATTGTGCTTCTTGGGAGGGTGTTTGTGAGAGAAAATCTAACTATCAAAGATGTTGCTAAGGTATTAAGGTACTGGTAAAAGCAGAGAGGTTGTCATAGTAACAGTTAAAAATAAACAGTGACATTTTTCTGGCTTCTTTTTTTTTCAGTCTGCTGAAGAAAATTGAGCGGGAAACATGGAGGGAAAGTGGTGTTTCATTAATTGCCACTGTGACTCGCCTCATGGAGAGGCTCCTGGACTACAGGTGGGTGATTATCACAGTTTAGAGGGAGGGTTGTTGTCTTTGAAATATTAGGAAACAAATACAGTTATCTTGCTGAAACGGTGGCTGCACATGGGTACATGGATACATCAGCTGTAAGTGCTCGGGATCTCTGACAGCAGCTGCTTTGTCAACAGGAAAATGCAACTGGGCAGGATGAAAACAACCAAGCAGACTGCCCCTGGTGTAAAAAATCTAGTGGTGTGCTTGAGTTTCCTGTCAGGGAATGTAGTAACTTTTGGCAGTAGGTTGGTGACTCAAGTCTGTCTGAAGACACAGAGCTCAGCAGTAATCACCTGACAGTTGTTTTACACAATATGTAAAATTCTTACCACTGTGTCAATCATGCTTAGTTGTAGTGTCAGCTGGCACAGTGTGTATGTATACAAAGACATGATCTCTGGGTGAGCACCTCACATCTGACTGTACCACGTGCTCCAAGGAGAGGGAAATGAGAGGCATGTACTCTCTTTCAGGAGTGTGAGACTAAAAGCAATTTTCCCTGTCAGTTGTGAGCCTGTGTAGAGGCTTCACATTTCAGCTTAGTCCACCTTATGGCCACCAGCTGTAGCATTTTCCACAGCTTAAGTGTAAGGTTTTCTCCCTGATTCCATAAGGACACACGGTGAGACCTAGTACTGCACTTGCTGTCATCACTGATAGTTTGAAAGGAAAGCTATTTCATCAATAAAGAGACTGAACTCTTAATTTCTAGAAGCATGGCACTCTTCTCTTTCTCTTCAGGGATCAGCTGGATTGCAGCCTCTAGGGCTCCCAATCTTTCCTAACAGGGGTTATGAGAGTATCTGGGGCAATGGTTTAGCCCATGTATTCAAGAATGTTTTAAAGTTATGTTAAATTTCTTTTAGTGACTACATTTTGATGTCTGCCTGTTGCTCTTTTATTTCAGCATGGTTATACTGGCTACTTTTTTTTTCCCTGTGTGATATAAAAAGGTCACATAGTAATGACAGAGCTGGAAAGAAAACATTGACTTTCTTGTCAGTTGAGGTATTCAATGTCCTACAAAAGGAGGCATGAAATCTCTTAGCTACTTGGTCAGCTATTCACCCAAATGCCATCATTTCAGCCAGCTTGCCAAGTCAAATATGTCTGTTTTCTGAGGTGTGCTTCACTGTAAGAGGATAAACAGCATTCCTTTTTACTTTCATTACTTTCTGCTTTAGGGACTGCATGAAAATGGGAGAAGTGGATGGCAAAAAGATTGGCTGCACTGTTAGCCTTTTGGTTTGTATAATACTTTCTCTTTCCCTTTTTTATTTCAGTTGAGCATTTTTTACTAAACATTTTCTACTATATGGATACACATTTGAATAGGACATACTTTGCTTCTTGTTGCAATTTGAGTGGAATTTGACAGAGTAATACTACACTTAGGATCACTGTTCATTTTTTCCAGGCTGAGATCGATGCAGTAGGGAGTTAGTCTTCCTTGGCATTTTATAGCTTGGTTCTGAAAGGTCTCCAAAATCGCTTTATTCAGTTTTATGTCTCTTCTTGCTGGATAAACTTCACCAAAGTACTTTCCAATTTTAATTAGTCTCTGAGTTTGTAGAAACAAACATGCCTTTCCTTCTCTACCAAACCCAACAAAACTTACATGATTTCTCTTGTTTCTTTTCATCCCCAATAACTGATGCAAGTTGGTTCTTATAGCATATAATATGGGATATCTTGTGAATATTGCAGGCTGACTATTCTCTCCTGATTAGAAGAGAGAGAAATGCTGCTCAAGACCTCCTGTATTCATGCTATCACCATTACCACAAACCAACAGTGCTAAGCCACAGTATGAAAAAGATGTCTTTTTTGTTTACAAGATACATTTTGATTCTAGGCCAGTTTCCACTGACAAATTTGTTGACTTCTGTTAACCTTGGAAAGTTTCCATTTTCATGGTGAATCTTTTGAAAAGCTGTATTTTTAGCCAGAGGGAAAAAAAAACCAAAATAAGCTGACTTGTAATTCTGCATTTTTGACGTCAGTGAAACAATTTTGTATCACTTCTGAGTAGCAGTTATACATAAGAGAACAAAGGATTTCTTCAGTAGGAAAACAGTGTTCTAAATAGGGTTGATATTTACTATGAAGCCATAAAGCAGCTGGCTTGCTGTCAAAATATCTGGCATGATCTGAATTCTGTAAAGCACCTGGATTATTTTCATCCCTAAGGAGTTTTTAATCTATTATTAGCAAATCATCCAAGATTTGGACAAATAGAAAACTAAAATATTTAAAAATTCCAAAACACCATATTACTTTTTAATGAGATTTTCAATGACTCATACAGTCTAAGCTGGATTTCATATCCTAATAATTTTCAAAGAAATTTTTAATTCTCTTGAACAACAGAGAGACAAGAAATGCTAAATTTTCTCAAATCAATTTAATTTTTTTTTTCTTTAAAGTTTTTATTTTTATGTTTTCATAATATTCCTCTCACCTTTTTCCTTGATAATAACTCAATTTACGAAACAGTAGCACAGAATATAAATTCTGTACTTAGGAGAAAAACTGCTCAGAGTTCAAAATAGCAATTTAAATAATAGAATAGAAATTGTTAATTGCTAGTGAGAACCAGTGCTTAGACTCTTCTAGCCTATAAATTTTTATTAACCAGAGCAGATTGTCCTGAAGATGGAGTGTATCTAGTAGGAGGACTTCAGCTGCATGTCCACTGTGAATGTGGCAGCACTTTTGAACAGTGCTGTAGGCTTGTGCTCCTCTTCCTGTTACTTTTTCATACTTTGCTTTAGGACTTGTAAATAAATAAAGAATATTTTGAATTTATCAACTACTACATTTTATTACAAAATTCAATTTTATTTCAGAATTTTTACAAGACTGAACTGAACAAGGAAGAGATGTATATTCGCTATATTCATAAGCTCTATGACCTACATCTGAAAGCACAAAACTTCACAGGTAACTGAGTACAAACTAGAAAAAGATATTTAGGATTGGTCTGAGGTTTACAGTCTATTGCAGCCCTGTAAGCTGTATTCTCAGTGCAGAACATACCAACTCAGGCAACAGCTGTTTCCTTGCCTAACTGATGTCTCAAAATACTGCTTTTTTCAGCCCCATGGCGCTATAATTTGCTGAGCCATGGTGAATGTAAATTACTTCTGTTGATACCCACTAGCAATAAATGTGTGATAGGATCATTTTTCCCCCAAAAGAAGTAAACTTTTGAGGAAGTTTTTATGAGTTCATTTCATGGTATCTGAGGCTATACACTTTTTTGAAATGCTCCTGGCTATCTGTTTGGTGAAGTGTTTCCACACAGCTGTGATTCAGAACCTCATTTTTGGGTTAAAAAAAGAAATAAAGGAAAAGAAAATCCATATCACTTACTCACGATGAGCTAAAGACTCTAAGACCTGTGGCAAGTATTGCAATTTCAAGATGTCTTTCTAAATCTTCACATGCCACGTTTGCAGTACTATTGTCCAAGATTCTCTAATCTTGTGCCAAGGCTGGTTGTTATCTTCTACATGAAGAAATAAGAAGATATTGTGCATGGCTGTTGTTTATACAGCTTAACATGCACTTCATTTGGGGAACTACATGCCATCAGTAAGTGCTGGAGAAGATAAAATCAGTATCCTTTTAAATCACACTATCTTTGCCAGAATATTTTACTGACCTTGTAATACATCCATCTTTTCCCCAGTGTTTGCAGTTGCACGTGTTCAAAATTTCTAGAATTTTTTTTTCCTTCTTAAAAGCAGGTTAGCTGGCTGGGAGTCATGAGTAAACATCTTACAGGTACCCCGTGTCCTTATGCTTCTCTACTATCCATAAGAAAGATTGTTCACTTGGAATTTCCACACTCCCTTTACAGTTCATGGATTTAAATGTAGACTAGATAGCAGGATATGTTAAGGAGAGGATTTTAATTTTCTTCATGTGACCTGGCAACAGTGAGTCACAAGAGAATTTTGATTGTCAAGAAGTCTCTTAGCCACAGCTGGCTTTTGTATCAAACTATTATTTTGCACAGTAGATCTTAGTAACTCTTTGAGCAGTGTTGAGTTCCTTTATGCACTGGGTACTGTTATGTGTCCAGTTTACCTCCAACTGTGATATGAACCTAACTTTTTTCATTGTTTTCCCATCCATTCTGATTTTAAATAGTATTTTTCTCAAAATGTATTTCAAGGACTTTGTTATATTTCCTATGTGTTTATTATCAATCTCTGTGATTTTTGCATTTTTTTGTTGTGGTACATTTCACTGCTTTACTACTATTACTATTATTATTGTTGTTGTTATTGCTATTTTTAATTTTTTTTCTGTAAGAGCCTTAAATAACACTTGTCTCACACCCATAATTAGAAAACAGACTTGTGTAGTCCATTGCCTTGCCTAATCAGAGACGATACAGACTTTCTTAAATCAGCTGGTCTAGAGAATTTGGGATTAGGAAAATAAGTTTGATACTTCAGTAGCATTCCTACAAGTTGCAGCATCAGTTTGCTAGTTGAATAGTTTCATCCTAGGGTTGAAATTGGTTTTCTGTCCTTTCCATAGTATGATTTACTGGTCTGTTTCTAAAACTGCTCTGTTGAAAAAAGTCCTTTTTTTTAAAACATTAGTTCAAATCTTTCTTTATACAGCACTCAGTCACAGCTATAAACATACCTCTCTTGAGGCTGAATCACATAAATGTACTGATTCCTTGTGTCCTCTCAGTCACCTGAGAACTGTAATGAGACTGTCTTTTTACCTATCCACCTTAGAAATATCTAATTAGAAATATCTAATTTTGAATATTTCCTGTATAAATTGAATTTCCCACATCACAAGTCAACCATGTTTATCTCTCCTTAGTGCTTTGGCACAAGTCAGTAGTTACAGACCTGTCCCTGAGGTACCAGTATTATATTTGTTGTGTTGGCCAGTGCCAGACATAGGATGCTGGGTAGAGAAACCCTTCAGACTTTTAATCCAGTATGGTCATTCTTATTTTAGAAACCTTCTGTATAAATTTATTATAATTTAAGAAAACAACATTGTTATGGCAGACAAAATTTTGTTAAAGTGAAGGACTTAGATGCCAAGTTCAGAAAGGAAAGGTCAAGATGACCTGTCCTGAACATCTACATATATTCTGCTATCTTTTGCTTCCTTATGATTTTGAATGATTGATGATCAGCTTCATGAGTTTTTTAAAATTGTTACATAGATGTGCTTGAGTACAAAAATGTAGCTTGAAACTATGACAAAGGTGGTTACCTGTCCAGCAGCCTGAGAGGTGCTGAGTGTGATGCCAGGATTAAGGCTGGCTGTGCAACTTGCATGGATGTATCACAGCACAGCATCAGTTTGCAGCACACTTAGCATTTTACAACACTGGGCTTCAGGGCACTCTCTCCCACAAGTATCAGCTGCAGTGATGCTTTTTCATCCACAGGTTCTTAGTTGGATGTGTGGAGGAACACTACTGCTAGGAAAAGTACTGCAGAGTTTGGCTTAAGTCACCTGTCTTATGGGAACTCATATGGCAGAGGCAGAAGTAGGATATGGTTGTCTGGGGCAAACTTAGCTTAGCACAAAAAGTACTTTAGTACTTTATTTTTTTGCCTAATGTACAGCCTATAAAATCTGCAATAAAATAAGTCCAGTAGGAAACTCAATTCTCCAGAACATGTCCCATTTTTGTGCTGACTCACTCATGCAAAGTGGTCCTGTGAGTGGAAACATAAACTGTGAATACTAACTTGGAAATCAATAATACATATGCTCAGTTAGCCAAATTGAATTGTCATAGCCAGTAGTAATTCTGGTGTTTTGTAATTTGCCAAAGTCTGACTTTCCAATAAAAAGATTAATTTAATATTATTTTAGTGCACCGTTTCTGAGGAATTCCTGAAATCAAAGGAAAAATAATAATAATTTTCATATTCCCAGATGATTTCTACAGATGAATGTAAAGATTACTACACAGCTCTCTGACTAGAGACCAACAACTGGTTTGATTCCTACCAAACCAAAAACTAAATAAAATCTTAAAAATTAAGAAGAGAAAAATATTGCACTTCTAAATTGTTTGTTATAGCCACCTGGTAAGGCTCAGCTATCAAGGATTTATTTCTCTGTGGAAGGAGTTGATTCTATTAAGCACACATCTGCCTCCCTGTTTTCCTCCCAGCCCTGATCTCTTTTGGACTGTGTCCACAGTCTTGTCGTCTTTCCTTTTTCACTACTGATGTTCTTCATCCTCCAGTCCTTGTTCCTTTGTTCAGACAGCAGACTCATTGAGAGTTTCTCCTTAGCAGTAGGGAAGACTGAGGCTGAGCAGGAAATGGTTATTTAATTTCTGTCTCCTTTGTATTTTCAGACTCAGTCACTCCAGTGACTCCACTTTAAAAAGCGTGTGAAATTTTTAAGCTATTTTTGTTATTGCTGTAGATAGTAATTCTGTCCCAAACCACCACTGCCATCTGCCTAAGACTCAAAATAAGTCAATTACCCATTAAAAAGGTGCTTCTCAAGAAAAGCATTCACATCTCTGTGTTCTTTGTTTCTCTGCTTTATCTGTTTGGTGTTGATAAGTGCCATGCTGCAATTTCTCTTGCAGAGGCTGCCTACACGCTCCTGCTGTACGATGAGCTGCTGGAGTGGTCTGATCGGCCACTCAGGGAATTCCTCAACTACCCCATGCAAACAGAGTGGCAGCGTAAGGAGTGTCTCCATCTGACCATCATTCAAAACTTTGATAGGGGAAAGGTAAAATAGTCCTATTTTACCTATTTAGAGTGGGTCTGGGAAGGGTAGTTTATTCATTTTAGGATATTAGTTCCAGGGTTGCACTTTTATCCTGCATTGGAAGCGTTTTTTCCTTGCTTGATTAAGCAGTTACTTAGCGATGCAGTACATTTCTTCTAATCCTGCAGTTGTATCCTAGAAATCCACTACTTATATATGAGAGTAATTTTCACTTGTGTAGCAGTTGGCTTTGTAACTGTCAAAGCACTTTGTAGAAGGTGGTATAGTTTCTCCCCATTTTAAAGGTGGTGAAAATGAGCCTTATAAAGCTAATGAAATTCACTTAGTGACCAAGTGAGGATTGTAAAGGCTACATCTACACCTTACAATACCATGTTGTATCTCTTAAAAACTAAAAAATAGTTTGGAGTAATGACAGTTCATTGTCATTACTGCAAATACCTGTTCTGAATTAAGCAAGTGTAATTATCCTGTAGTCTAGAATTCTATATACACATAGTACACATAGTGCACTGATTTGTCTTACTGACAAACATGCAATGCATTACAGTTTTGTGTAGCTGGTGTAAAATCTATGTAAGCCTAATAAATGTAATCAAATGGGTGTTAATCACAGTGTTTTTCAAACAATTCTGTAATAGTTTAACTTACATGGTGCAATGAAGTACTGTACAACCTAAAAAAATTAAGGAAGATGTATTAAAAGTACAATTTAAAAATGTAAAAATTTGACTGTGTTGAATCCATCTCTCTTGCAATGACTTACGTTTTGTGCATAGTGCAAAAAGAATAATTAATTAATTAAGTCTCTAAATATATTTTTAATTCTTCAAAGAATTCATTGGTATTGCTCAGAAGCTATCAGCATGTTTACTGGACAGTTTGTTTGAATATTTTCAGCAACAACAAGACTTAGTATCGCTAGAACAGACCACTAATGAATCACAAATTGACAAACAGTTGCTTTGAATTACTGAATATCTTTTATTTGCTTCCAGTGTTGGGAAAATGGCATTATCTTATGCAGGAAAATTGCAGAACAGTATGAGAGCTACTATGACTACAGAAACCTCAGCAAGATGAGGGTAATGTACTTGAATACTTTTCTTCAATTAGGAATCCAAAAGCTTTTTAATTTAGGTTATAAAATATTACTTAGAAAATTAAATTTACCACAGAATGTTCCTTAAGTTTGGTTTGCAAATCTTATTATTTACCCTGAGGGTTTTTTTTTCTACAGTAAGGATTACAAAAAAGGAGTATGAGTTTTTTGAAGAAAAATGAGAAAATTCTGTCTTCATAGAGTGGTTTGGGTTGGAAGCCTTAAAGATCTAGTTCCAGCCCCCCTGCCAGACACCTTCCACTAGCCCAGATTGCTTTATTTTATTATAAAAATAATGTTCTTCCAATATTTGTACCTGTACAGCATCCTTTTTGTACACATGCTTATGCAGAAAAAATAATAATACAAATTCACTTTCCTGCAGTTTATTCAGGGAATGTGCTCTGTGCAGTCCTTCACCTGGAGCAGCAGCATGTCCTAGCAGTTGTAATTGTAAGCAAAGCTACAAGTAATGCCCACCTTTACATTTTTTTTTAATTTATGGCTTAAAAATATGGTTTGTTTAATATTTCCTAGCAAAAATGAATCTTTCTTGGTACAGTCTTCTTGTTGTTTCTTCCATTTTAGAACTCTAAGCATTGTTTCTCTTTCATTCATATAGTGTATTTCAAAGATTATTATGATTTTTCTTACCTGCTGGATTCAATTTCGTATTACAACTCCCCTTTTAAATTTCCTGTACATGTAGGATGCTTGCTGCTAGGACTGAGTGAAGTCCCTTTAATCCAGAGCTGCTTAAAACATTATGCAAAATTCTCAACACAGAGCTATGTGGCAGGACTCTCTGTTATCTGCTTATTCCATATATATTTTGATATGTCAATGGCAGAATTCTATAAGCAAAAGCAAACTGACTATCATCCTGTGAATAAAAAGATTAGTTTATGCATGTTTAATTAATTGTACTGAATGTGTTTTGTGATTGAAATATTCTTCTTCTGTATCTGTGCTGCTGAGGTTAATCCAAAAATGGAAGTGTGGGGATTTCTCATAGCAGTATAATTAGGCAGCTATTGATAGCATATGCATTCTAAATAGCTGTCTGTGTTACCTAAAATAGGGCTAAGACTGTGTTTGGCTTTTTCCACAGTATTAAAAACTTTGTCAAAAATATCATCAGAAAATGGGGCCTTTGGCATTAAGATTCCCTTGTGTCAATTTTATGTGTGAAATAAAAACCGGATGTATTGATCAAAAATTATGCTAATTGCTATTGTGACATTGTAAAGAAACTCATATTTGATGCTTACATCATTGGAATGTGGTATGATTTGGACAGAACTGTCTTGAATATGGAAATTAGTCTTTGCTGATTTAGCTGACCACATTACTGCCATGTGTTTGGGTGATTAGCAGATTACTGGGTCATATGTTTCAAACTGTCTTTCTATTTTACCACTTTAATACAGGGACTTAATATTTTAAAGGATTTCTTTTTTAATTCTTGGAAACTTTGAGATCCCTTAGAGGTATAATAACTTAATCTGATGCATTTAGAAACTTCTCATGTCCTAGTAGTTGCTCAGAGATACATTGCAATTCCAGTACCCCAGAGGTGAAAGATATGCCCTTTTGTGACAGCTTATGGCAAAAATACACTTTCAAAAAAAGAAAGTTTGTTTTTTGAAAGAAATTGCATTTCTTCTCAATCTCACAGATGATGGAAGCATCTCTATATGATAAAATTATGGATCAACAGCGTTTGGAGCCAGAATTTTTCAGAGTTGGTTTCTATGGGAAAAAGTTCCCATTCTTCTTGAGGGTAAGTGAAATGAAAATGAACAGAATGGAGTAATACTGTCATTCATAATCACTTTCACTGAGTTAAAATTTGTTCATACCTGTTGAGGTATGGTTTAGATATACCATATACAAGTTCTTATCCTTGCTTTTAAAGAAATGCTTTACCCTCATGTTCGATGGTTAAGAAAAGGTCCTGACTAATGAAAAGACAAATGCTAGGCTTCTAGAGTCCCAGAGAAACACAATATTCGTGTTTATTTTGGAAACCATGCACCTACATTGTTCCACAGACTAATGGCTCATGATAGTTTGTTCCCTTTGTCCTGTTCTGTTTCTGCTGGTGCGTACTTAGAGAAAGGCTGTCAGTAGTATCCATTGGTGGTGGCATAATCAGCAATTTAGCATTTAAGCAATTACATTCCCAAGCTTTTTTTGTTGTTTTTTTTCAAATGACTTAGAAATTCCACATGCTGAATTTCACTATTAATGTTCTAAAACTGACAAATAATAAACCTATTACTCTTGATGGTTGATCTGGAAATCCTAGGTTACTGAAATGTCCTTGAAAATATTCGTGGTGTTTACCCTGTTCCCCTTTTCCACAGTCTGCAGTAGTTTAGCTGCATTGACTGTCACCTGGGGAAGAGGACAGAATCCATCTTATTCATGGAGCAGCTATAATCATAATCCAAGCTTCTCTTCATGTAGTAATTAAAATAAAGTGATGAAGGAACTTCCTCTATGTGGTAGAGACCTAAAAAGCTTGATTTGTCTTTGCCTTAGTGGTGGGGAAAATGACAATTTCTAATTGGTAAATATAGCATGAAATCTCCCCTTAAAAGCAATGCTCAAAGAGTCTGATGGGAAGATAGTTCTTGATATTACCTAATATTCATCTGAATATAACTTCTGTATAAACCAGTTTGAAAATATTAATCAGAAAGAATTTAACTGGTGGAGTAAAAGTTGTGGAAGGAGTTGCACAACAGTGCAGTACTTTCAAACCTTAGTGCTTATTCATTTTACGAATTTTTCAAGTTAAACATACACAGCACAGATTTATGCTTACAACACCAACAAGGACAGACTTAATACATTTGATTTAAATTTTTTATGGCAAAGCAGTTTGTAAATCTGTCTGTGTTTGCTGTAGAAGGAATAAAGACTAAATTTCATAATAAAGCTTTCACATTTTAATTTGTAGTTGAACAATAATACTTTTGCAGAGTTTTTTTTGTAGCAATTCCCATGAAAGTCTTGACTCTCAGAATTCAATGCCAGGAGCATTCTTATACTTTGTGTTGTAAAAACTGGATCATTTTAATTTTCCAGGCTGATAATTGATCAACATTTACAGGGTGCCTTTATAATTTTCTCATGCAATGTTTTTCTTCATAATTATATAACATCAGAACAAAGTTTCTTAGTTCCTCATGGAATCAACTTTGAACCCGTTTCATTGTCTTAACTGTTTGTTGGGTTATATTTCTGTTGCATATTTTATACAGTCTGATACATCACATTCTATGCTTTGACCAACTAAGATCAGTTTCTCCCTTTAGATTTTTATAAAACTCGGAATTGTAATTATTACATTTTTCTAGACTATTGAATAAAATTTAACTTATATGATAAAGATTCCTTCTTCTTAGTAACCTGTTCTTTCTATATTCCTTATTTTTATTCTTACCTTTTGTTTTTTTATTTTTTCCCTTCTTTAAATGATGCAAAAGTTGCCTGGAAAATCTATATTTAAGAGCGTGTGTTTGGATCCTAATTATTTTCATGCAATTTGCTCTTGCTTTTTGTTTTCTTTTTCCGCTCAGAATAAGGAATTTGTTTGCCGAGGACATGACTATGAAAGGCTGGAGGCCTTCCAGCAGCGAATGTTGAATGAGTTCCCACATGCCATTGCTATGCAACATGCTAATCAGCCAGATGAGACCATCTTTCAGGCAGAAGCACAGTGTATCCACATAATCACAAAGCCATACTCTGCACTTACATTTTCTGTGCTTTTAAAAAATGTAGGTTCCCCTATAGCCAATTTCAATCACATGGTGTCTCCACTGAAATAAATGGTAGGTGAGAATTTCCCTGCATTTTGTCCCAGCTCACTCTATTATGTTTGGAAGTCCTTTGTGTAATTTTGGTTCTATTTAAAAATTCCTTGACATGTTACTGACATTATTTCTTTATCTAAAAATACCTATAGAACTATCACCACTGTGATAATGGTGTAGCAGTTCAAGGTACAGTAATTTAACTTCTTAAAATACAACATTACATTAGCATGGCATGACATATTGTGTAAAAATATATTTAATTAAATCCCTTTACTTTATGTACTATTCCATATAAGTAGCTCTATTTCAAAAATAAAGATGAAATTTTCAACAAAACAGTACAAAGAAATCTCAAACAATCAAAAAATCTCTCTGGTTCCTTTCCCAAACCATTAATAGTATAGAAACATTTCATGATGCATGCTTTTTAAAGAATTTTTCTTCTGTAATGCTTCAGGAGTCAATATGCTTTGCTAATTTGAATAAAGTGGGATAGCCTTAACTCTTTACATACAGATTTGCAGATTTATGCAGTGACACCAATTCCAGAAAACCAGGAAGTCTTGCAGAGAGATGGCATTCCTGATAATATCAAGAGCTTTTACAAAGTAAATCACATCTGGCGATTCCGATATGACAGACCATTTCACAAAGGGACCAAGGACAAGGAAAATGAATTCAAGGTAAAGTATCATGCCCTTTCCTATCTACTGGACCTGTGGATTTGTTTGTAACACCAACAAAAGCTGCCCTATTGAAACATCATCTGCATTTGCATTATTCAGCTGAGTGTGGTAAAACAAATTCTCCAGAGGAGATGGTATCTCAGGTTTGACTATTTCATTTCTTATTTTTAATAAAATAGGATCAAAAATATATGGGAGATGCAGAGGTCTTGCTGTATATGTGACTAGGAGTGAAAAAATTAATTTTGTTTTTTCATCTGTGATATTTAGAAGGCAGAACTGGAGAGAGCAGAGTCTCAGAAAAGTTTCTTAGGCAGGTGGAAAAACATTGTTAAGGAGGTAGTCTGGGGTATGAATAGGATTGCCTAAAGTTACCTCTCTAGAGTAAGGGAGAGACAGTTTTGACTGAACTGCAGCATAATGACCTGTTCCTGTGATATTGAGACTAAAAACTACTTCTAAACTTAGAGATTGCCTCAGGGAAAAGCAATAGTTCCTTCCATAATAGGTAAATACCTTCTGTTGCCCCTAATAAAAATGTCATAGTGAAAATTCATCTTTTGGTGTAATTTTAATTCTGACCCACTACAAGCACATCCTGGTGCAGAACATTATTCAGACAGACAAAAAGAGTCATCCCATAATAATTTTGTTACAAGTTTAGAAGAAAGGACTCTAAGGGTAATAAATTAACTAAATTGACTCACTGTTGTCTTCTAATGCATGTTTGGGCTTTGTTTTTGCTGTCCAGCTTATAAATATATTTTGTGTGACCACTATGCTATGTGTTGATTTGTCATTTTACAAACCTCTCACACAAGGTGTTCACCAGTAGTATATTTGAGTATCCTCTCATTCTGGAATCTTGAGTAGGGCTTCTCGAAGGAGACCTGATAATGCTCTCTGATCTGTAAGTTGTTCTGTTGCAGAACTCTTGTTCTTCTCAGATGTGAGATCAGAAAAGAAATATTAAAATATCAATTCAGTTGCAAGTGACTTTTGGAGATTTGGGGACAACATATAATAAAGTTTGAGTGAAGAATCAGCAGAAGTTACTGCTTAGTAGTAGGACCTAGAAAGTAAGGAGAAAAGCGGGCGTTGTTGACTTTGGGATAGACATTGCAGTAGGAATTTGGATGTTAGTCCTTTTTTTAATGTATACTGTTACTTTAGTGAAGGTGTTCATAAAGGAAACTGGTAATAATTAAGTAAAATATAGAGTCAAATAGGGAAATAAATTTGTTTTATGTATTTTAGAGTCTATGGGTAGAGAGAACCACACTGATCTTGGTGCAGAGTTTACCTGGAATATCTCGCTGGTTTGAAGTAGAAAAACGTGAAGTGGTGAGTATGAGACTCACATCAAAATGTATTGTGTGTTGGTTTACTTCCTTAATCACGTGTTAATTTGATTAATTGCTTTAAGATTTATTACACATATGTAATTTCTTTGACCAAGGTGGCTAAAACAAAATTATTTGCAAAGTATATTGAGTTGTCTGATTTCTCTTGTCTTGAAAAGTATTATTAAGAACCATGCTTAGGATTCATTTAAACATCTGAGGAAAAAGAAGTTGAGAATAATGGGAACCCAAAGGCAACATTTAATGTCAGTAAAATGCTTCCTTAAAATTCCAGCACCATGTAACATTTAATACTTAGAATATCTGTAGTTTAATGTATCCTTCAGTGTCCTTGAAAAGTAAACATTCTCCAATCCAAGCTACTGAACAGAACCTGGAGGAACAGGGTCTAATGTACCAGTTTGTTATTGACACATTGGAATTTCCTCTCCTTGCTTGTTCTGTTTAAGGATTAAAAAATCTTTAAACAGATTCCAGATGTATTCGGAGGAGTGCTCCTCCTATAGAGATCTCTAAATAATTGGTCAGTTGTTGAGCCCTGGAACATCGCATCTCTAACTGTTTTCCTTCTTGTCAAAGCCAGTCTTAGAATAATCCCATTAAATATAAGGATACCATAGTACAATTGATTTTATCTAACACTCTGTTGTGTTTTTCTTTTATAATAGCAGGAAAGTATCATTTGTTCACCATCTTGATATTGCCATGTAGAAAACCAAAGAGGTAGTTTAGTAAAATCAAAATATTGTGTGTGACATGAGACATTTTATTAGTTGACTCCTGCTGAGTCTTTACTAGGTTATTATGGCCACTAATATGAAGACCTTCAGTTTCCTATCATTTTACCATTATAGCTACCATTTCCAAAAGTCAACTGTAATAACTTTTCTTGAGCATGTTTGAGGTCATGACTCGGATTTGTTCTTGTATGTTTTGGTAAATTATAGCAGCTGCAAGCCTGTACTCATCACTCAGATTTTGGTTTTTCTGGCAGTTCACACTACCTGTGAACTCTCTCACCCTTGAGAGATGAGAGGCACATCCTGCTCAAGGCTGTTTTTGACTATTACTTGATCATCATTTTAGCTCAAAGCTTGCATTCAAATTCCTGATGCATAAAATCTCATTGTTGACTTTACTTCGGATGGGGAAACTACCTCACCAAGACTTCGGCTCTGCTCTGTACCCTTAAACTGGTGAAGTTCCCTGACCCCAAGCCCATTTTAGGTAGTTACAAAGGACAGTTTAATCCTGAATTCTAAAAGTTCCACTACTGCCTGAAAGTATATGAATGTTTTGCAGCAAGGGCTGGGTCATCACTCAAGGTCAGATGATGAATCTACCAGAGTGACAAGTTGGTTTTGATCACTGATTGCATGATAAAATCAAATTTCTCCCCCAGCCGAGAACTTTCTCTGTCAGACTACTCTAGGACATAGAAAGATATTGTTTTATGTCAATAAATCAAAAATTACCTGCAATATATTTCATCTTTCTCCTGCAGATTAAATTGTTTGCAATGTTTCTCCCTCATGTTTCAGGTGGAAATGAGTCCCCTTGAGAATGCTATTGAAGTCTTAGAAAATAAGAACCAGCAGTTAAGAACACTGATTAGTCAGTGTCAAACTCGACAGATGCAGAACATTAACCCTCTCACAATGTGTCTAAATGGGGTCATTGATGCAGCAGTTAATGGTGGAGTTGCTAGATACCAAGAGGTAAGCAATTTAATTTCTGTTTATTAGAAATTTGATTTCTTTCCCTGTGTAGATGCAGCTCCTCTGTATAAATTAAGGACAGAAACTACTATATGAATAATAGTTATACTATATTGCAGTTTTGGGTTAGGGAATGTTATCAGTGTGGTTTATTGAAATAACCATTTTGCTGCAGATAGTATCATAAACTTACTCCAGTGATGACTCAATTCACAATTACCTGCATGCTTCAGTGATTTGTTTGGAAATTTTCAAGTAACTGGTTAATTGTAAGTAAATTATTATAATTAATTGCCTGTTCTAGGATCGGAGATACTTCTGGCCAACTTGCAAATTTACTTTTTTGTGATGACATTCTAGTTTTTATATACATATTATATATATATATATGTATGTATGTATATATGTACACACACAAATTCTCAACAAGAAATTAATTTTCTTGAAGAATCATAATTTTCTAGATCTTTCTTGTATCTCCCAAGTTTTTAAGAAGAGGTATTTTGGGGGAGGGGGGAGAGGGATTTAAAAAAAATAAATACAATCTAGAAATGTCTAACACTGGATTTATTTCTAACAGTTGTTCCTCATTGTTATAATTTCTGAATCACCTTAGGAGAACCTTAGATGTTTGTGATACTGTATTTACACAAAATTCTGTGGAATTTTGAAACTTCAGTAAAAAGGAAGGGTCAGGGGCTTTTTGCAATCCAGCTAGATTTTTCTCTTTCTCCTAACAGTCTTGTGAAATACTTGAGTCTGCTTGTTTTCCCTTTGACAATGTCAAGTTGAATAACATTCTGTCCACTTGTCTCAAAGGCTGAGAGATTCAGTGTTCACTCACTAGTGTTAAATTTGGTAAAAACACATCTTAATTAAACTATGAGTCCAGTATAGTATTAGAATCTGTCATCAAAACTGCAGTGTTAAGAAAATTGTGAGACTGAAGCAAAGCAGTAACATTTTTTATGTTTCTTAACTGCCTTTAAACAACAACAACACTGTTTAGCATAGTGAAGCACCATGGAGGGAGTCCCTGGAGAAATACAGTCATGTCAGAACTATGTCTGGTTTGAATTAGCAGTGTCAGAGCTAGCTCAGTGTCTCTGCACAGCTTCCATTCTTCACAAGCATATCAAAGGTTCTAGCTTGCTCCTTATTCCTGTCCTTGGATGTAATTCTTGGTCTCTTAGTGTTGTTTCGATTCCCTTCTGCCCTCTGCCTCTCACTATATTAAAATAAGACTTTTCAGCATTCAATTTATAAATAACAAATTGTGAGGGTTTTTTTTCTTCCATTTCTCCTAATTATTTTCTTTGCATGTCTATTTTTCAGTCTTTATATGTCTACCTGTTGTTTTGCCAGCTCTTACCTTCTACCTTTCTTGCTATCCTGTTCTCTGCAAATGCTTTTCCCTGTTTCACTTGCTTTTCCCTTCTGCCTTGTACTCAAAAGCTCAAAGTTCACTCAGTCTTGGACCATTTGGTCTTGAGGTAAGAGTGACCATGTCCTTACCAATATCTTCCTTCCCTTCAGGCAACTTCCAAGTTTCAGGAAGTGTCCTTTGACCATCTGCTGCCTTCTTGACTCTGTCTTCCTTCTTCCCTCCTTTTCTTCTTTAAATTTTTTCCTTTTTTTTTTTTTTCTCTTCTGATGGGGAAGAAGCTATCTCTAATTATTCAGCACCTTCATATTTCAAATGTTAAAGCTATTCATTCACTAGTGGCTACATTTTTTTGCCTATGGTCTCCACAAATGACTGTATGATTAATTACTTATTTAACATATATTATCAATTATTGCAGTTCAAAGGAACTTAGAAAACATTTGCAAATATTATCTAGAAATTTGGGTTTTTTTTAAAAAAGAAACATAAGTGGTGTGGTTTTACTCACTTTGTTTTACTTTGTAATTGTATTCTGTATAGGCATTCTTTGTCAAAGAATACATCTTGAACCACCCAGAAGATGGAGAGAAGATTACACGCTTAAGAGAACTTATGCTTGAGCAGGTAAAATGGGAAAAAGACTGACAAGATGGCCTGCTCAGCTGTTCTAGCTAAAAATGTACCCAAATAAAATAAAAAATATCAGAGATTAATAATTGCCCTGTGATCTTCAGTGTTTTCTGAGTTAGATTCCAAATAATGAATAACTTTCTATACAAGCAGGTAGGTTCCTGGGCCATGTTAATATTTTTCTCTAGTCTTTTCTATCATCACCTTAATCACTTCAGACTATTTTGTCTAAAATAAAGGCTGAGTGAGAGGTCTATCTTGTCATGCTCATACACAAATATTTGCACAAAGTATTTTATCACTACTACAGAACAAACATTATTTCATTGAAACATTTGATGTCTGGCATATATTTGTATTTTACCAATATTACAGAAAAATGTTTTCACTATAAGGTTTGCCATAAGAGCAAAAAAGCATTCAAAATCTTATTTCAATAAAAGATATCTAGTGGTAATTGGCAAAATAGGTAGGCAGTAAAATAAATATAAAGTGATCAAATCAAGCATATGAGGATTCTATGCATTATATATTTTTTGCATTATTTCTCCATTCATTTATAAGCCAATGATCTACCAGCTTCAAATATGAAGTGTTTCCATCTGAAAATGCTGAATGTTTTTTTAATCAGAGCTTACTGATATTTCAGTTTTTTTAACTGGCATTTATCTATCTTTGTTCTATGCAGCATGTTGATGTTTCAAATTTTATTGCCAGCTTGGAACAAAAAGAGTCACAGTATTGGAATTTGGCAAGATGGGAATTCCATTTTTCATCAGCATTGTGGGATCTTTTGGTTAGATCAGACAAGTGACAGGTCCTCAGACAATATAAATCAGAATAGATTCACTGAGCTCACTTGAATTTCACTGTGAGAATGTATTGTAAATGACATTATAATTTTACTTTTTCAAGCTGTAGTTAATCTCACTAATCTTTAAACTGTAAAACTGGAGTTAATAACTTCCTGTAAATAAAATATGAGTTCCAAGCAATAGCTGTTCAGCCCCCTCTGGCACCCACAGCTGATTTAACATGGAGCATTTGGAAGAGCCAGGATGGCTCTGTGTGTGTGTGTGTGTGTGTATGGATATGCTGCAGTCCTGACCTGAGGTCAGGGATGCTGTACAGCTGCGTGCCCACTCGCAGGCTGCCTGAAAACATCAGCCAGGAGCTCTCATCCAAAGATATTACAGCACACTGTAGCTATTTTGTTTTTAAATCTGAGCTTATCTGATTACTCTTGTAACCAGTTCAATATTTTGAATGCATGTGACCAAATTTGAGCAAGATTAAAGTTTTAGCACTATAATTCTAAAGCCTGTCATGACTTGTGTCAAGGATATACATCAGGCCACTACTTCTGGAGGTCTCTGGGGAATTGAAATAGGATAGGGGACCATGAACTTCATTAAAAGTATATTAGAGTCTCTGGTGGATTTGACCATTGCTGTTGTTTCATGCTTTTTACAACTGTTCTTGTAGAAAATGGCTTTCATTTAGGTTTTAGACCTGCTCCTTTGTAAAGTTGCCATTTATTCAGATTTTTCGCTATGTTATCCATAGTGTTTTTTAATATTACAGTTGAATTTGCATAGGTGAAACCTTTGGGAATGTTGAACAGGAAGAGGCAGTAAATCCTCTTGTGTGCTTCTGCTCCAGTCCTTTTGTGGTTACAGGTTTTTCAAAGATTTATATAGGTGTTTTTAAGGCAATGTGCATTTTGCTTTTTTTTTTTTTTTGAGTCAATATCCTAATTGATGATGAGAGGTTAAAGAAAATGGATAAAAATTATTTTTTTCCCTTTCTGCAGGCCCAAATTCTAGAGTTTGGCTTGGCTGTGCATGAGAAGGTGGTGCCACAGGATATGAGGCCATTGCACAAAAAGCTGGTGGATCAGTTCTTTGTGATGAAGTCAAGCTTGGGAATACAGGTACTCACGTGAGCAGGTGCATGGATAGACCAGAAGACTGTTCAGCTGCATTAAGGGTTGGTTCATCTTCCCAAGCAACAAACAGTGACATCTTTTGGTTGTTTGTGCTCATAACAGCTTGTAGACTTTTTGTAGTATCAGAAAGCAAAGAGAAAGTAAACTTCCCATTCCATGCAGAGAAAAGTAGTCATGTTTTACTAATAGTCACATTTTACTATCATTAATGAAAAGATAAAATATTTTTCTTATTAATGATGAAGCTGATCCAAAATGTCATGTAACTGTATGTAGTTATCTACATATCTGTATCTTACAAAATGCGTAATGATATTATGTTAATTTTAATTAATCTTCTCTTAATAACTCACCAGGAGTTTTCTGCCTGTGTACAAGCCAGCCCTATTCATTTCCCAAATGGAAGTCCTCGTGTATGCCGGAATTCCATACCCATTTCTATGAGCCCTGATGCTGCCAGGGTAATACCACGACGCAGGCAAGTTAAATACTAGTAATGACATATTTTTGCTATCCAAGGAAGATGACCCATAAATACTTCTATTATGTGCATACTTTCTTGTATGGTCTGTCTGAAGTGTTTAGCCTTGAATAGCTGGTATATGTGTTCTCCTTTCTCTCTGTCTCTCTCTGTCTCTCTGTCTCTCTGTCTCTCTCTCTGTCTCTCTGTCTCTCTGTCTCTCTCTCTCTCTCTGTCTCTCTGTCTCTCTCTCTCTCTCTCTCTCTCTCTCCCCTCTCCTCCCCCAATTAAAGATTAATAAACATGTGTTGTTCTCACGTGAGAAATTGTGATTGACGATTAGAGTTAGCCATTTTATATTTCATTATTCTTATAACAGCCCCTTGAGTTACCCAGCTGTCAATCGGTATTCATCCTCATCACTGTCATCCCAAGCTTCTGCTGAAGTCAGCAACATCACTGGGCAGTCGGAAAGCTCAGATGAAGTTTTCAACATGCAGGTATAATTTATTGTCATTCTTCATGTCTACAGAAATCTTTCTTACAAGGTTATTTACTAAGTTAATGCTTCTATTATTTCATTCAGAAATATCATAATTATTGCTGATGTTTCTTTTAAAAACTAAATTTTTAAATGAGATGTTAAACTCATTCACTTAGAAATAACTTTTTTTATGTAGCTGTTTTCTCTTGTTTAAATTAGAGCATTAATTTTTCACAAATGTACTAAGTAGCAGTGGACTGTGATGCAAAGTCATCTGACCTTGCATAGACTTTTGTGTCCAGTTGTCAAGTTGTGGTGTAATTATTTTACTGTATTATTTACATTTCTGTTTATTTTGCATTTTGCTACATCTTTGTGTAGTTAGATTAATGCTCTTTATACTGGTTTGCTATTTTGAATTGCTGATAAACTACACTAAGGAGCTACTTGTTCTAATGAAGAATATGCTATAAATTTTTGTTTTCCAAACCAGTAAATGTGATCTGTTAACATCTCTTCTATACACAGCCTAGTCCATCTACCTCAAGCCTGAGTTCTACTCATTCTGCTTCACCTAATGTGACCAGTTCTGCTCCATCCAGTGCCAGAGGTCAGTGCTCATCTGCTTTGCTAAACCATATTAAATGACTCTTGATACATTACACAGATGAATTTCTGCATGATGTCACTGGTCAGACATCATATTTAGCCAATTACCTGAGGAATCTGAATTATTAGAGATAGAGGTTTTTTTTTGTGATAAGCATAGAATTGAGATGTCTGAGTTTCACTGCATGAATTTAATCACTAGACACATTTATATTCCAGCTTCTCCTCTGTTGTCCGACAAGCATAAGCATTCCCGAGAAAACTCTTGCCTGTCTCCCAGAGAGAGGCCCTGCAGTGCCATCTACCCTACTCCTTTGGAAACTTCTCAGGTAAGAAGTTTGTTGGGAATCTTCAGAACACAAATAGCTAAAAGGATAATAAAGGCGCATTTGAGCAGAACTTTGAGTAGATTCGGTGCTTGTTCACTGTTTTAAATTTTCAAGGGTTTTTTATGCTTTTATAAGCAAATACTCTAAAATATTTTAGATGTAAGATATGTGAATAGAATAGTTCTTGATCACATTTCTGCTTCATTTCTTTAGGTTAGGTCTGTTTCTTTATGTTCACTTACTGAAGTGAGAGGGAGATGCAGACTTACCAGATGATACAGCCTGCTTCTGTGGAACAGGAAGCTTTTGTTCAATCTAGGGAAGAGGACAAAGAATGAAAAGCTTTTATCATGACAGTTGTCCTTGTTGAGCCCCTTTTGTTTCTTCTGAAATAGCTAATCCTAGCCACTTTGAGATAATAACCCATTCCATGTGGCAATTCCTATTTCCCAATGTAGTTTCAGAAAAGAGTGATAGACATTTTGTTACTCCAAAGAAAATAATGTATTGTCTTCTTGCCTTAAAATACTGTTACATGGGTCTGTATGAAATGTGTATTTTTTTTTTGAGTATTCAGAAATTCAACATGAGCTTGGTAAGCTGGCCAATACTGAATCCTTATTTCATCTTTTCTTCTTAATAGACCTATTTTCCTAAAGTGCTTTTCTTTAACGCAGCTGCTGTTTTAATCCTTGCCATCACACAATGCTCCTCTTGCTGAAGCTGAGAAAGATGAGAACAGGCATACAGTGTTAAAGGCTTTCCTTTCAACACTCTCATGTCTACCAGAGGTTTTACCTGATACAAACCAGCTCCAGGATTCTTTATTTTAAAAATTATTTATTGGTTTCTCATTAGTTCTTTTCTCGTCCCTTGTTTCTTTGGTTATTAAATTTGCTTTTGATTTAATTTTTAATCTCTTTTCTGTTTAAGTCCTCATGTTATTACCTGAGGGCTTAAGAAGTAATACTGAGGCTTAGCCAGACTTAAGGACAGTTCTCAGGAGCTACTTAGAGCAGATAGATCTACTGGGCACTTCATCAGTTGTAGTGGAGCCAAAACAACAGGAAAAATCAGGAGATGCTCTTTATCTAAAGCGGTTTTACAGTTTGCCGCAAAGAAAAATTATCCCATTTTTGCTCCCAGACTACAAACTCTTGCTTTGCCAAGTGGAATGCGACTTCTATCCCCCACTCTATCCGAGATTGCATAAGGGAGGCTGAGGAGCTCGTAGGCCCAGTCTCCGCTCTCTCTGAGACTCGCCCAGCAGCAAAGTCTCCCAATCTGTCTCTACCCTCAGTGTCCCAAGAGAGGGTAAGTAGAAAACTAACTTGCTCATACAGTGAAGTATATTTCAAAGATGAGAAGGTCTGACGGTTTCTTTCTGCCCTTATAACCGTAAATGAGGATATATCTATCTGGGGAAAGGTGAAATTTCTTTCTCTGCTGTTCCCTCAGCAGTAAAAATGGACTGTGATCAGAAACAAAATCCTGATTCTCTGCCTTCTGGTAAAGAAGGGGAAAACAATTCCTCAGGACAATTGTAAGGAGATATCTTAGAGATACCTGCAATTCTAATTTAAATTTAGCTTCTCAAACTGTTTCTTGTCCTTTCTCCTTTCATTCTAACACCACATCAACAGTGCTGGTTGGAGCTTCACACTGAGAGGAAAGGAAATTTATGAATTACTTTGTTACAGCTTGATGAAAGCAATTTTCACATTAGTGTTTCACCTCGGAGAGATGAGATACACAGGCAAATTCCTGAGCTTCAAGTCTTTCAGTCCATAGCTACCTTATTTAAGGAAGTTTGATGGGCTTCACAGAACAAGACCACAGCAGTACTTCATCCAGTTCCTCATTGAAATTGATGCTCAAGTTTATGCACAGCTGTTTTTAGTCAACATCCATTTGTGCTTGCTTCGTGATCTCTGGCTGAATGGTTGTACAGTGTCTTTCCAGCTCTTCCCATACTCTGAAGAAGAATGCCTGTTGTCATTGACTGGTCAACAAGCCTCCTTAGTTTTTGCGCTATTATTCTTCCTATTGGAGCTTTTTGAATTTCACTTTTTTGGGGTTTTTATTTGTGTGTCATTAAACACCCTGTGGTTGCTCTTGTTCTTCCATATGGTTTTATATCTCATTCTTTTTAGTATGTCTTTGTTTCTCTGTATTTCATTCAGCTTTTGTCTCTTTACCTCCTCCAATTTCAGTTGCTTTTTCAGCCGTTGCTCTTTACCTTTGCAACAGAAAATGAACTTCAGCGCTTGTCCATCACATCCTAGTGCACTGCAGACTCACTAGGCAATGAACACTCAACTCAGACCAGGCAGGAACATATGGGCATACTTTCTGTCACATCAAAGGACATATATAGGTTTACCACCTCAATTTAATGGTAACTCCAGGAAAACAGATATTACCTGACCAGAATGACTCTCACATGACATACAGCACACCTACTGTAGCTCAAAGTCTACCAAAAGCATTTTGTCTCTGATATGTTTAAAACTAAATTGAATTTGGCTTAAGTATTTGATCCTCACTTTATAACACGAAGCTGCAACCTGTTAGATCAATGATGATCACTTTGCGGCTGGGTTTGCCATCTTGTGGAACTACAGCATAGTGCCTCACCAACTTGGCAGAGTGCTCTGTGAACACTGGAAAGAGACACAATAATAGGATTTTATTTGGATTTCACCGATCATTTGATCTTGCTTTTAAAGAAAAAAAAAAAAGTAAGAAAAAAATTTGTCTGTTCCCATTTCCTCTGAAAAGTACATCTGAATTATTTGTAAGATTAACTGTATGTTCTTTACATATGTTTTCAAGACAAACTAGTGACCCATGGATTATTTGAATGCTGCCAAAGGAAGTAAATGGTAGAATTTTAATTTTTTTCATACATTTACTGTGATTTGTAAACAAAATGGATTTTAAGAAAATGAAGGACAAAATGCTTTATGGGTCAGCTCTTACCCACAAGAGAAGTAAAAAGACTGCTACCAAAAAAGTCAGAGTTGGAAAACAATACACAATACTTTTCTTAGGTAACAGCCATAACTTGAATATTATCTTGTTCAAATCCTGACACTGTAATGAAATTATTGCAAATCTATCCTTCTATTTTTAAGTAATCTATTAAGATATCTCTTTAGGAATGAGCTTTATTATGTTTTTTAAGGTGCTGGAAACTGTCAGAACTCAGTACATAATAATCCTTCCCTCCAATTTCTGTGTGTACAATTTTCAGAAAACTGGTCTACTCCCTATCTGTATACACATACATGAAACTGCTTATGTTCTTTCGTGATGTTTATCACTCTACCTCCTAAGCAGTCCTGGGGGTGAGGAGGGATAATAACAAAAATATGTTTGTTTTCTTAAAGGCTACTGAAATACAACAGCAGCTATGTGTAAACCATGCTGTTCTCAATTTACAGAGAATGCTGTTTAATCATATTGGAGATGGTGCTTTGCCACGAAGTGATTCCAATCTGCCCGGCTCTGACAAAGGTAAGTGGAAATGCTACAACATGCCAATCTTTGAAGAATGAAAATTTAATTGTTCCATCATGTTCCTGTAGAATGCCAGTTCTTTTGTGTGCATACTGTCATCTCCAAGTGTCAAAACATTCTAACTGACTAAATAAATTATGCTAACAAATCTAAGTGTCAAAACACTTGGCCAAAAAGGGGACTGAATTTTGCAATGAAATAAGGCCCAGAAGTTTGCAGGAAGGGTTCATGGAGCAGCAGGTTTCATCAGACTGCCCATGAGACCTGTCCTTTCTGCTCCTCAAGTGAGACATATGGGGGGAAAAAAGCCAGCTTCTGGAGAATGGGGCACAGAGAAGATAAACAGAACCCTGAAGTTTGGTACCTGCAAGTCCCATTTACCAAACATAACTCAGTGTGCTCTGCTTACACTTGGATTGAAAACACCAAATTGTGGTTTCTTGTATTTTGAGGATTTTGTTTTTAATTAAAGTAAATGAGAAATATATGCATTTCCATAAAAGAAATATTGCCTCTTAAAATTTTGCACATGGGGAAATCCAGTATTGTTGGCATAGTAATTGTTTGCCATGATTTCATTATGTGCCTCATATCTATAATATGCTCCATCATTTCATTATTCTTTGTGGTAGGCTGAATAAAGGATAGAGTAAAATAAGTGCATAGAAAGTAACTATTTTAATCATATCCTGTAATACTAACTGATCAGAAATCAGATTTTCTTCAATAAGAGCTGGGTTTTATAGGTATTTTTGTGTCTACGTTTTTAGGAAAACACAGATAAAATTTTTCACAGGGCTGAAAAGCATATGAAATAAATTACCATGGAAATAGTAGAACTTCTTCTCTGGCCTATGCAGCCAAGTACCTCACAGAATTGTTAAAATGAAGTATTCTCTCCTGAAGGCTTTAGCAGTCCAAAAAAATGACTGCTTGAATGACTTAAAAGAAAAAAAATTGGCTTGTTGCGATTCAGGCATTTGAAGTACCTAGTTCTGGTGCCAGGTGATTTTTAGGATGAGGACAAAGCCATGCTGTTGGGTGACAGCTTACAATAAAAAGCAAATACTGTATTGCATATTTTGGCAATAACAAAGCAAAATGATCCTCTAGAAAACAGATTATACTGTTCATTGATCCCAGGGTCAACTAAAGTGCAATTACACTGTAACAATATTGTTTGAGATATGAGAACAGTGTTATTTTCACTGTACTTGTTGTATTAAGTCTGGTGTTTAGTGGGGTTGCAGTCCTGAGAGCTCTTAGAGTTGCTACAACAGCTATAATTGACGCCATCAGTTAGCAACAATACTTTGCTTTCTTGTTTCATCTTTGTAAATAAACACAGGGTCTTTGCATGTGATTCTCTACTCAAAATTGAAACAAGTAAACGAGAAGGAAATTGTCATGCAGGGCAAGAGGTTTGAGGCTTTGAAGGTGAGGGACTTTTTTGGTGGTGTATTTGGGAGATGAATGGGAAGGTTTGGAGTGGTTATTTTCAACTCTTTTTTTTTTTTTTCTTTGGGAAGTGAAATGAAAGTTGTAATTTTCCAATTAGCTTTTGTCCTGCCCATGCTAAATGCCGTGTCCTTCTTTCCAATATTAGTGACTTCTTGATGACATGAGATAATCCAGTTCTATCAAGAGCTGTTCCAGACCTTATGGGATCATTCAGTTAAAGCCATAGAATCTGATCAGTGTAACAGATAAAGAAAACAGACACTTTTATGTGTGTTGAGGTGAAAGTCAATTTACATAATCAAGCAGAGATCCTTGACCACAGATACAGAGTGTTCAGAAATTTTCTCAGTCCATAATAATTTCTTATTTTGGTATTTTTTTGCACTTTTAATTTCTTCCAGTTTTTACTCCCTACATTTTTTTCCCCTTTCCACCTTCTTTCAATTCTGAATATGTAGTCTATACAGGCAACAGAAGAATGTTAGCACAGGAAACTGTGAGAGGTTGGTAGGAATTTGGCAAGTTCCTTTCTCTAGTCCCTTCTTTAGATAAAATGAGTTAATGGGAAGAGTTTATGAATAGTCTATTCCCCTCTGCCTGGAAGCCTCTAAATAGGAGTCTAGTGCAAAGATAAACTGATTATATTAACAGGCTTCAAGCTTATCTCCCTTTGTGGCTGGATTTGCAGTGCATCAGAGTGCAATCTCAGCTGCTGCTGCTGTTGATGGCCACCACTGCTGGTCACAAACTGACCTGAGGGCCAGATGCATCCATCAGGTATCCATGGGATTGATGGCTGCTATTTAAGAGCTTTGCAAGTGCAGATGTAATCACAAGAGCTTTCCAGGCATGTTTAATAAGTTGTTAGGCGTTTGCATTCTGTCTGTTTTTACCCTCATGGATAAAAGCAAGTCAGAGAGCTGGAAGTTTTGATGTCTATGATAGTTTTTCCATTCTCTTCCAGCTGTAAACACCACCCCCAGCAGCTGGAGCCTGGACAGTGGGAAGGAAGCCAGAAACACATCAGAAAGTGGAAAGCTTATATCTCCTCCTGTACCACCAAGACCTGCACAGACTGGTGAGTTAATGGACATCTCAGGTAAAGCCCCAGTACTTGAGAGCTTAGATTCTTTCCACTCTGATGTTTAACTTCTTGGGCAGGTTAACTTATTATTTGATTTCTTATATGAAAGACTGTAGAACTGCCTCTGTGGGTATTTTCATCTCATTAATGTTCTCTGCAGTTTCCAATACTCTGCCCATTCACTAATGAATGAGCAGTTTCAGACAGTTCATGCTGGTACAAGGAAGTATGATCAAATTTAGTCTTTTGATTTTATGATAATTGGAGGTTAGCAAGCAGAAATGATCATTAACCACAAAGCATCTTACTGGCCAGAAAATGCACAGCATTCACAGAAGTACTGTTACAATAACCACTTTGCCTTTCAAAATTTCCATTTAAAGGAAAGGCTCCTCAAGTGATACTACAAATACAATTGTTCTCAAGGGAGTGAGTAAACTTCTTGTGTATTGTACTTATGCCTCTGAGTTTGTCCAGGCATGTTTTTAGTACATTTAGAGGTAAATGTTTGATATAAGTGTATTATGTATTTTTGGTTTTCCTTATTTGACTTAGAAACACATAATATATTCTTAAGAACAAAAATAGAAAACTTGTTATACTGACCCTTTTTTAACTTGTTATCATTTGGTAGATTATAAATCAATTTACAGTGATGTAAAATTTGTCAGAAAAGGCAGATGCAGAAATTCTTTGATGCAGAATTTTTTTATACTTGTTTGTACTGCAAGATAATCCAGAAAACAAAGCAAAATAAACAAAACCTCTAAAACTATTTACAGCCATCAGCCAAGGGAACTAGAGACAATGTTTATGTATTGAATGATCTATCCACTTAAGAAGATTTCTTAGTGAAAATTGTAATGCCACAAGTGCACTGAAATCTTTCTAACTTTACAGCATCACCAGCAAGACACATAGCCTCCATTTCCCCTTCTCCTGCTGGAAGATCACCAATGAAGGTACTGTCTCACTGCAGTGAATTGTCTTTGTGGGACAGATCTTGTGTGTTGTGGGGTAGATGGTATATGTTTAAAGTACATTATTTGGGATTATATTAGGTTCTCTTTTTCTTATCATATACAAAACCCAGTATTCTGTCTCCAACAGTGGAAGGGGAGGTGCCAGAAAAACCTGTTGTGCAACCCATTCATTTTATTCTTCCAGCTTTCAGAGCTGTTAGAGTCCATTAGAGACTATTCTCTGCTTCAATCATTTTCATACCCATTTTTCTCTTCAGGATGATCCAGGGGGGTTGTAAGAAGTTGCAAGTAGTTTGACACCTGCCAGTAGGAAACTTTAAGCATAGGCTGTGAATAAGCACTGGTTCTTCTCTGGCCGTTAAACATCCAAAGTAATTTGAAGTCCAAGCTAAACTGAGCAGGTTTCATTTCTATTTCAAGATATTTGCATGTGTTGGTACCCACATATTGGTGCCTGCTTTTTTTTTTTGGGAAACTTGACTGGGAAATCTGTGTTTTCCATAGCATTGGAGTATACAAACATGCTGCATGCTTGCTTATTCCAGGCAAACCTTGGTGCTGGCAGAGTGCATGACATTGGTCTTGGGGAACAGCCTCTGCTGCCCCATTGAAGCAGAGGTGATTTTGCAGGTGGAAACATGAGTCAACAACACGGAAGGAGAGCAAATAGAAAGGAGCATGACTGGTGCTTCAGGCACTCAGATGCAAGGACAAAGGGAAGCAACTCTGTCAAAGTAACCCCTCAGCAAACCAATGCCTAACTAATACTGCAGAGATACACATTGTCTTAGGAGTAAAACAGCACCCCAAAGTATTTCCTTTCCCCTTGAGGTCCCTAATTACAAGTCCACATTCAGTGTCTTGTTTGCCTTCTCATAAGCCTGTAACATTTCTACTTGTGTCTGCACAGTGGTCCAAATTCCTAACAAAGCAATTCTGCTGACCATCAGAACACCCCATAGTCCTGTTACCGTTCTGCTGAAGTGAGCAATAATCCTGTTTTTCCCTAATTGCTTACTAGGAAGCTCTTTAGAACATTAGGATCTTGTCCAGAGATGAGTGACCCTTCCTTTTAATCCTGAATGGACACAGTACTGATGATTCTTGGGGATGTTTGAAGCTCGTCCTAACATTTTTCTTCTGTAGATCTGGACAGAATTTAAGCTTTTTACAAAGTCTAAATTGCTGCTTGGAAGAGGAATGTTGGCCCAAAATACTTCTGAGAACTGCTGGATCTCACTTTGAGCATCCATGAATTTCCAGACTGTTTTGGTGTCTAAACTGTTACTAACTACTGGTAAAAGTAATCTACGTTGTTTTATCAGAACAAAGTGGTTTCTCATGCAGGCTTTACATATTTGCCATTGTTCTAAATGACAAAAGCAAAGGTCCTAAATCTTATATATGGTCAAGTGTCCAGTGTTCTTGGAACTGGAGCCAAATACATTATTTATTTGAAAACCTTGACCACCCTGGATGTTTGTGGGAGTAGGAGTGCAGTTGCAGTCTCCTCACATACAGAGGAATGGAACATGAAACAAGTAATTAAACAATCTCTTGAGAAAGTCTGAAATGTCTTCACCTGGTGTTGAGCTTTAAATAAAATTCATTTTGCTTTTCCACAGCCATATACACGGCTCAGATTTTAGTCTCTCATCTAACAGTGTGCTACCAGAGAAAACCATCCTAGTACAAAACTCAGTGATGTAAATGAATATTTTTGTTTTTTCTCCATTGATTTCAGTGCTCTGTGGATCCAGTCCTAGATGGATAACTAAAATTATCTCAACAGCATAAAGTCAGTGCAGCCAGTTCTGTACATCCCTGCCCTTCTCCTCTTCCTCCACACCCATCCTTTGTTGCATGGCTCTCACTCTTACCTCAAGCTGAGCAACTGAGCATCAACCAGTCTAACAAGAATGGGAATGAGAAATCTGTCTTTATTTAGATTTCTCTATCCCTTTTTTAGCCTGAGGCTTGAGGCCAATAAGTTGGGATTGTTGCAGATGACTCCAGTTGTAATTGCATATGTTGCAAAAAATTTTTAACTTGGAAAGTGGGGGCTAACCTTTTAAAATTTTCAGTGGAAGTTGCTTCACTGGAATAGAACTGCTCAGAGGTTTTAGGTAGGCCTTCATTGTCCATGACTTTTATTTGTCATCAGCACTGCTGTTGCTGCTTGGGCCCTCAGCTCCTGGTCCCTCACCATCCCTCACTGACCTATGAGGCTACTGGTGTAGCCTTTGGCCACCTGTGCCCTCCATATGGCCCTTGTCCCTGAGGCACACGTGGTGTGTTGTGTTAGTACGTCTGAGGAACACCTGGGAGATTGGGGAGAGGAAGGGTGGTGATGCTTTCATCTCCTGCCAATCTGCTGCTGCCCCAAGTGGGAGCGAGAACAGCAGAGAAGGGGGCTGGCAGCCAGCAGCAGCTCTTACCTTGATACCTACTCTACCCTTCCCACACTGGCTTTATGGTACACTCAGAAATGATGTCATGATGTAAATGCACTTTTCACTGCATGGCAATGCACTAAAAAATGTGAGTAAAAGCTTTGAAACCTGAATTTGGGATATGAGAGGCTGCAGTAGCAGCAATTGCTGGGCTTTGGCGTTAGGGGGCAGGACACCCCCAGGTATGCTCTTCACGCAGTGATGCAATCTACTTCCAGCTGGGAAAACTAAGGGTGAATTCTTTAAACTTCCAGATTTTTCCAGGGTATTATGATAGCAAGAAAATATTTCAAAAGAGTTTTATTTCTACTTATATGAATTACTGGCATGACCACTATCTAAGGAGTACCCAGGCACTATTGAAATGAGTTTTTTATCAGTTTCTTACCAGGTCTTGATTAAACAGGGACACAACCATTTCTGTTTATCAAAGGTCAGAGTTACATGCACTGTATCTATGTATGTTTTCAGTCTGAGCACAGAAACACTCTCCCTCCTATATGCCAGGTAAATTCTTCTTCTGCCCTTTCTTTTGAGCAGGGGTCTGTGCAATCATTCACACCGTCTCCAGTGGAGTATCATTCCTCGGGGCTCATATCCAACTCCCCGGCGCTGTCAGGGAGTTACAGCAGCGGCATCTCTTCGCTCAGCCGATGTAGCACATCAGAAACATCAGGCTTTGAAAGCCAAGGCAGTGAACCAGCAGTGACTGTCCCAAGCTACAGCATTTCTGAGGAGCCTGTGAGAAAAGAAAGCAAAACCCCACCACCTTACAGCGTGTATGAGCGGACTTTGAAGCGCCCCGTTCCTCTACCTCACAGCCTCTCCATCCCGCCCGCCGCAGACCCCCCGGCACTGCCACCCAAGCCACAGCTTGTTCGGCCAAACAACCTGGAAAACAGCAGCAGGAGGACTGAGCAGGTTCCCCGGCCCAGGCCTCTGCCCCGCAAAGTCTCTCAGCTATGAGAAGCCACTTTTATATTTAATTGCAACACATTCTTTACTGTTTAAGAAATAATATTTTTTAAAAATGGTAAAACTCATTTAGTTAGGCACTTTAATATTTTGTCCACCTTTTCTTTTGAGTAATTTTGAAATGCTTATTAATATTACGTTGCACATTTTAAATGAAATTACTAATTTAGGTTACCAGATATTATAGGAAGCATGAATGAGAGGATTTTTTTTTTTTTAATTTTGTGGTGGTGAATACTGATAAATGCTTTTATTTGAACTTTATTTTTATTTAAAAAATCTAAAACCCTACAACTCTCATCTGAATTAGCTGAATGCTTCTTACAAAATGCAGAATATACTGACTGGATCTTTACTACTAGAGATAAATGCACGCTTTCTAACAAAGTAGTCTGTAGACTAGGATGTTTCTGCAAGTAGGCTGAAAGTTGTTTCTCTTATCTGATGAACAGGTTGGTAATTTCAAATGTATGTGGCAAAACTGAGATATAATGCAAGTTATATAGCAGAGGACTGTTGTAAGAATGTGGTTTGGAATTTTTGAAACACACACTTGGCTTATTTTTTTTTAAGATGGAAAAATACCTGTATTTCATTCAACATATAGTACCATTCTGGTGAATCACGATAAGGTTTTGTGCCATTAGTGTACGTACCTGACACATCTTTTTCTTTTTGAGGTGCAATTTACTTTTATTCTTCCAGTTAATGTATTTTTTGTTGTTGTTTTAGTTTCAGATTTTTTATGAATGCTCTCTGCTGTTCTTGGAAGTTCACCCTAAAATACAATCTGTATATTAAATAGGTACAAATGAATTGTTCATTTAACTTGTGTACAAGAGTCAATACTGACTAGTATCAAGGCAATTCACTGAATGAGCCAATTTTTAAAAATACAAATGGCTGGTTTACAATCCACTCATTTCAAAAGCTAATTGTGATGGTCATTAATAATTTTCTAAAAGTCTGGTAAAAATTCTGAACAGTTCCTTGGATGTGTATGTGCCATTGGAGCCAGGCTTTTGATTTGCTTTTTAGCTTGAGTTCATCACCATCATCTTTATTGTCAAGAATGGTGTTTGGCCTTAGGTTGTATTTTAGTGACTGGCATCTGAAGAGCTCTGGAAAGCTAATGCCAAGACATAGGAATGTGGAGGGGAAGGAAAAAAAAGCACCTTCTGTATGTTTTGTATCCTCTTTCTTTTATTGACTGTTTAAATGTGCTTGGGAACAGATGTGTGAACTACATTTTAAATCATATTGTTAAAAATATTCTCCCTCTTTTGTTGGGAAGCTCATGTTGATCTTAGCTGTGTTTGATTTGTTGATAGTTTAACTGGAAGAAAGTGACCACTTTTTTATATTCTCTCAATTAAACCTTCAGCAGTTACAAGCTGTTGACAGTAGTTATAGAAGTTTTCTATAATAAATGTTCAAGTATTTTTGTACATAATTGGTAAATTTTAATAAGGAGTGTACCATTATGTGAAAAAGAAGCAAACAGTTGTGTATGCAGTAAGATTGTTATAATTATGCCAAATACTTTATGTATGGAAAAAAGAATATTTGTAAATATGTGCTTTTAACAATAATTCTGCCATATTGACTTTACAATTTTGAATGTCAGAAAAAAATAATATATGTTAAAATATTTATGTTTTAGTGAAAGTATTCATAACTTGAAAAGGAACATATGAATTTTAGCTTTGTATCTTGCTGATTTCAAAGTCTGAAATTCCTTGAACTAGCTCTTGCTTTCTACTATAACATTTTTATGTCTGTAACCACATCATAAAACCTGTAGAAGGCTACATATTTATGCTGATATAAAAAGTAATGCCTGAAATTTAAATAAGGTGTCACAAGTAAGATAACAAAGCTGCTCTGATTTTTTTTTTCCACCCATGTAGTTTAATAGATTTTGTTGACTAGTGCTTGAGCACAGTACAGTATGGATCAGTGTTATTTGCTCCTGAAGCCTTTTTTTTTCAATTTCTGGCAGTAAGCAGAGTTGATAACTTTATCATTTGTGTGCATTACTGGTCAGCTTTGCAGCAAAACATTTCACAAAGTCTCTGTTTACCTAGAAACTCGTATTGGTTGCTGCATAATGTTAGTATGAAATAAAAGAACTTGATTAATCTTTACAGTACAACTTGTTTTCTACAGAACGAGAGATTCTAATTCAGTTACCCACAGAATGGAACTTCTGACTCCTTGTCTTGCTAAAGCCTTTTTTTTTTTTTCTGTTAAAAATCTCCTGATTGAGTTTTCTCCCTATTTGGACCCATAATTGCTTTGTGAGACAAGGTGGGGAGAATATTGATATGCTCTTCTGAACAAGTGAAGAACACAAAATTTACTAGAGAGTTCACTGTAAATTAACCTGCATGAGCATTCTGTTTTTATAACCAGGACATCAGAAATACTCTGAATGACAGAAAATGGTGTAAAATTGACAAAGTACTCTTAAGCCGAGTTGACACATTTTCTGCTTAGCCAGTTTTGACAAATTGATTCTGGAGATCATTTTTTCAACCTGATTACCTTTAAAAAATGTAGTATGAAATTTTGTTATGTATGTTGCAATACCCACTGCTTGAAAACCTAATGTAAATAAAGGTCTTGTTTGAATTTTATATAGTAGTCATAAATACAATTTTACCACTTTCTGGATGATGGTGAGTAATTCAGAAGCTCATACAGGAAGACCAATGGGAACAAGTTGCTCTTAATTCTCAATAGCTTGAATGTCAGCCAATGTGTGCGTAATAGGTGGCATAATCTTGTATTCAAATACCATATTTGAGATGCTGGTGTCTCTGGGATGGCAGAGAAACTTCCTCGAACTTGGCTGGCTGGCTGGCTTCAAAATGATGCAGTTCAGACTGGTTTTCATGATGGCATAATAGCTCTGTACTGTGAGTGAACTCAGTTATGATGTCCCAGGTCAGATGCTGTGTCCTGAAAGCAGCACAAAGCTGAAGTTACCCCTCTTAGTAGAAGTTTCAGGGCAGTGCAGTTAAGGCCCTGCTCACACAGAACAGGGTTATAGCTATGTGAAAATCTTCTGTATGAAAGTAGCACCTTGCCCTTCTGCCTGACCATTCTTCCTGTTCACTCATTGTCACTGCAAAAAGAACAGTGGTGGACCAAAAATATACCAATAGGCAGGAGACTGTGCCTGAGGTATAAATGATGAAAAGCATCTTGTTTTGAATGTAACTGTGGTCAGTGAGGCATGTGGCAGTATTGTCTCAGTAAACCCAGGTGCTGACAGATTCAGATCTTTGCTGCAGAACTCTGCTGGTTGCTGGAATTTCTGATGATTGAGGCTGAGCCCTGACATATGCTGGCTAAAGAGCAAAGTCCCGTTTGGTGGGATATTGTGGAAGGATGGTCACCACTGGATCCTTTGAGATTCTGACCTTGAACTAGATTCTATGGAATCTTTTCATATTAATTTAATTTGTCTTTACCTTCTCATTGATATTTTAATTCAGCTTTTGACGTATACTTCTTAGAAGAAATTAGTTTGGCTAGCATTAACAAAAAAAACCCGTTGGGGATTAAGCAGCTAAACTATTCAAACCTCAGGAATAGGAAAGGTTTAGACCTGCATACCTCATGCGGACTCATCCTATGATGACCATTATTTTAAACAACTGACTGATATTCAGCCCATGAAGACTGTGTTAGAAGGGAAAAGAAGGTCAACCATTAAAAAGAAAAAAAAAAAAATAAAAAGAGGGGTGCAAATAAAACTTAGGCTAAAACTTTGATGGCCTGACAATTAATCCAAGTGTGTTTTGACTCAGCCAGGAGACATGCTGGGAGAAACTGAAAAATTACCTGAAACTGAAGCATCAATTGTATTTCTTTAGTCTATTTTGTAGCATGATGTTATACCAGCTTAACTATTGGTTGAGCTGAAGGGAAGCTGGAAGTCCTGACAAAATAGAGGGTGTTTTTATTTTACAAAGGCCTTGGAGTGGGGGTTTTTCTCTTTTGTTATGGCTAACCAGAAGATAGAGAAGACTGACTGTCATGAGTAGCAGAGGCAAAGAGTTTCTAAATAGAAAAGCCCTACAAAATATTCAAATAATTCCCTTCTTAACAGTTATTTTCTTAACCCGTGGTGCAAAACTGATGCAGTGCATTTTGCAATTAACATCTCAGTATTTTAGGGAGCAAATCAATATCAAAATTTCATAGTAAAGAGATTTTCTGATAGCTCATAAGCTGCTGAAATTTTGGTTAAATATTTAAGTGGTTTACATCGTTGATTTGCTATTGGAACTACATCTACTTGCGTATTCCAATTTATTTTACTTCTGGAAAATTCTGCAGAGGAACTCTCTGCATTACAGTCTTGCTTATTTGTGAGAGACTGCTATCACTGCTGGTTTTTGTTGACCTCGCTGACTTCCCTTGGAGTGTTTCCACTTGCTTTTCAAAAGAAAGACCATCAGCGAGGAGCTACTTCTGCCTTTCCTGTAGGGAATATTTCAAAAGCACTGCCTGAAGGGGATAGAGCACAGCAACTGTTCCCAGGGGGGACTATAAGCAAGGGCTTTGGGAACAAAAGCTGAGGGCGACATTTACCCCGCTACTCCCATAAAAGTTTGCGTTCACATATAGAGCAATAGCTCAAGGACAGGGACTAAACTAATTTATAAAAATTAGGAAGTGGGATGTAGGTAATGTCCGACTGGCTTTGCTAAAGGGTGAGGCTCAGTCCCAGCATGTCCTATAAATGGGAATCCTTTGCCTTGTTTCCCGATCTTTTCATAGAGGAAGTCATGCCAGGTAGACACACAGGTGGGAGGGTGTAAGTTTTATTTTAGGGTTGCTGAGCATGGGTAGGGGCAGGGAAGAAATGCTGAATCTACACTTTAAGCCTAAATTGATTTGAGAGATCATTCCTCTGGGTTTTTGGGCCATGTTACATTCAAGGGATGTAACTTGTGCAGTGATTTGCCCTTATACTCTGAATGTGCCCTGGAGAGCCAGCTGTCTATCTGAACTCCCATGCTAGTCTCTTTTTGCCATGTATTGTGAAAGGACAGCTTGCTGCAGGTGTGCTGGAGCAGAGTCTGATGCAGCCTGATCTCTGTGCTTCTTTTCAACATGTTCTGTTCACCTTTGTAAGTATAGTGCTGTGGTAAATCCAAGGATGTGATACAACACCCAGTAAAATTAATCTGAAGATTCATATTAAGGTTTTAGAAATGGCATGTGTCCAAGAGGAGTTGGGTGAAGGCAGCCAGTACCTAATGAATTTGGTCCCATCTGAAGAAAATAAAACTTTCTAACACGAAAACAAAACATTTTACAAGGAACAAAACGTATCAATAAACTCAACCTTTTTTTTAAGCCAGTGTATTAGGAGTCAAAGCAACAACGTAACACAACGTATTCCTGTGCTGCACTCTTCTCAGGCCATTAAGTTCAGCAAAGGAAGATTGTGCACACTGGACAGAGGCTTTTTATGTTGCCAAGGAGAGTTTTCCTGCATCTACAGTTCCCCCTCCAAGTTCTGTCTCAGAACTACAGCACATCTTGTCAATCCCCCTGAAGCTATAATTCAGTGGACTTTTTATAGCTGTAAAACCTGAGCTGCATGATGATAAGTAAGCAAAATCAAAGCAAGTCATAACCTGCTACTTTGAACATGCAGACAGGGGCTACAGGAGAGCGAGCAGGGAGAAAAAAAAAAAGAGAAAATTTGTTTTCAGGCCATAAGGATCAATTTTGACTTCTGGAATATTTGCTGCATTTTGAGAAGTACTGTATTTTCACCACATGCTTTACTGGGTTTTTACCCTCTGTGAGATAATGTTGGGAAATGGTTTCCTCTGCTGCTTGTGTACATTTGAATTACAGCATTTGTCTTGCAGCCAAAAAAAGTGGTTTTCAGGGGTTTGTTTGTTTTTCTTCAGTCCTGTGACAGGGTAGAACAGCAGAAATAATGGTCAGTGCACCACCAGAGGTGGTCATGAACAAGGGGGAATGGCTTCCAACTGAAAAAGAGTAATGTTTACATTACATGTCAGGAAGAAATTTACTGTGAGGGTGGTGAGGCACTGGAACAGGTTGCTCAGAAGTTGTGGATGCCCCAGCCCTGGAAGTGTTCAGGGTTAGGCTGGATGTGGCTTAGAGCAACATGAGCTAGTGGAAGGAATCCCTGCCCACAGCACAGGAGGCTAGAACCAGGCAATTATTGTCCCTTCCAACCCAGGCCATTCTATGGTTCCATGTTCAGAGAAGAACATCTCTATTCTCTAGGTAGTTCTTAAACTCCTACCTTCAAAGATTAACATTCAGTTCACTGTGGGCCCCCTCACACCTTCTGCACAAGGACGAAAAATAGATAAGATCCATTTTGCTGTGGGAAGTGTGCTTCTGTGTGTGCCTCAGGCACGGAGAGGTATGGACATGGATGGATACCATGGAATGCTGCCCTCTCTTTGGTGTCCTTATTGCTGCAGCAGTGATGTACTTGTGGTATGTTGAGTATTGTAACTATCTGTCACAGCCTTGCACACAATTGTCTTACCTGCAACTAGATGCAGCTGTGTAAAGTACACAGAAACAATCAAAATGTCAAATTTTAAGACAAAATTGCTATTTATCATTCTCACCAACTCTACACTTATTTATCTTGAGAACTGGGAAACTTGGTGGATTTTGCAAATTCTCTCAGCAAGCCTTTTCTGGTTCAGTGCTATTTTTACTGAAGATAACACCAGCCCATCTTGCAAGTGAAGCTTTCAGCAGTTGTGCTACATGAAGCCAGGCACAGCATGAATGACAAATCCTCAACACTGTGTGGGCTCATTAGAAAGATTTGTATTCCATGCTGAGCTGAAGGAGAGGGAGTGACCTGGGAGACTCTGAGCAGGCACTAAACCGTGGAAGCAGCAGCAGAAATGACAGCAGATGGCAGGGTCAGCTCGTTAACTGCATTTATGTAATGGGAGACTTCCCATATATTGTCAAGCAACAATTAAAAAAAAAACAACTGTCAGAAATTCCACCTGGTCATAATTGATCATTGTTAATAAATCTGTTCCGGAACAGGCTGCCAAAATCTCAGCTATGATTGTGTAACTGAAACTAATCAGCAAATGATAATTGCTGGGGTGAGTTGCTTTGGTTGGGTGACAAAAGGAACCAAAACTGTGGTTTCTGCTGGCAGAATGGAAAGCTGTTCTGTGAAGGTATGCTAGGCTGACAAAACATCTGGCGAGTTTGCTGTTTCGGTCTAGCTCTGTCTGTTGTGAAACACAGGACTGTAATACTTTCTTCTAGAAACGCTGATTATACCTAAATGAATAAATATTGCAGCTATATTAACACAGATTTGCCCTGTAAACCACAGATTTATTCCTGATTTCTACCACAGTCACCACAAAAAAAGGCAAGAGATGGGAGTCTACCTGAACTAGAAAAGAGAGTTAATTTAAACCATATTATGAATTCATTGTTGACATAATGCTGACAAGTTTCAAACTATAACTTAACTTTTTAAGTTACCCACGCAGCACTCCTGAAGGGTCCCCAAAATGAGGCTCAGGGTGAGGCCAGGTCCCAATCTGAACAGGTGGGGGCCACTGGAGGTCTGATGATGGAGAGA